GGAATGCTCAGGGCCCTTCAGAACGAGTCTGGTCCTAAGCCCTTCCCCACCCCCAGCAGTTATCAGCGCCTGCTCTTTCCAGCCGCTCAACCCCAGGATGGGAGCTCAGGCTAAAGTCCCTGGGGGAGGCAGGACTTCGAAGGAGGGCGCGGGGCCGTTGGGCCTCAGCTTCGGCAGTGCTGCGGACGCCGAAGGCCTCCACGTGGCACGAAATGCCATCCTGAAGGGACAGACACTTCGCACGGGGACCCCCACCGCCTCCAGGGGAGCTCCCAGCCTCTGGGAATTTGCCTTGGTTAGGTCTGATGAGAGCATGTTTCCAACGACCACAGGGGCTCGGCCTTTCCTGCGGGGGTGGCCAAAGACGGCAGAAGGGCTGAGGGCTCAAGACCTTCGGGCAAGGCAGACCTTAGTTTCATTCTGGCTGTGCCCGTCCCCCCCACCCCCGCCCCTGTCATGACTAGCTGAGTGGTCTCACACGGTCCTGAGCCTCGCCGAGCCTCTGTTTCCTCTGCTCTGGAGAAAATTAGTAGGCCTGCCTTGTGATCTGCGGGGGGAACCATATGAGATGAGGCGTGAAAACCTCTCCATATATAAAGAACACTCAGTAGATACTAGCTCTGATGTAAGGGCCTGTGCACGCACGCACGTGCACAGGGAAAGGGAGGACAGTGTCATGGGGGAATGTACATTGACTCTTCCATTCGTTCTATTGATAGATGCTAATTGACACCTACTGTGTGACAAGCTTTGGGAGGCCTGACACCCCTCTACAGCCCCCAGCCCAGAAGAATGTCTAGATGCTTCTTGATTACCTCCACGGGCAGTGTGCTCACTACCTTACAACTGATTCCTTCCATTAGAAAATTCTCCTCGTACTGTAGTGGGAAAAGCATGAACCCAACAGATTTGGGTTTTGAGTCTGAATTCTACCACGTCCTATGTGTTAACCATGGACAAGCCCCTTTGCTGATCTATAAAATGGAGATCGTGATGCCAACCATTGTGGGGAAGACAGAAGATAGGCCACAATAACAGACCTAGCCCACGACTGGCCCCTAGCGGTCACCAGAGCAGTGGTCTGCAGTGCAATGGACTGGGAAGGACAAGCTGGAAGCTACAGCCATGATCTCATTTGGTGCCTGCTCCCAGAACCTTGAGGGTGGGGGTATCTAGTCAGAAAAACACCGTTTTACAACAGAGAAAACCAAATCCCAGCAAGTGGACTCCCAGAGTCCCTCGGACAGTATGTAGCAAAGGCTGCACTTGACCCAGGGTGGTGTTTCTGAAACACAAAGCTGCCCCCATCTTTCTCCCGCTAACATCCTTCAACAAATTATTGCAGCGGACTCCAGCCAAAAGCCTGAGGCTTCCCACAGTCAGGTCGGTTTGGTTTCCCCACGGTACCCCTCAATGTCTGCCCAGCACCCGGCGCAGCACTTGGCACGAAGGGAGAGCGGACTAGAGGTGTGATGAGCGACCCAATGAATGGAGGGGGCGGGGTGGGGGCGGGGGGAGGCGCATGAATGTGTGACGCCGTCCTTATAGTGCCATCGATGGAGCGCAGTGAATTGCAATGACCACGTTGAGGTCTGTTGGCCTCGTGGGTGGGAAGCTAGTGAGAAGAGGGGTTGTGCCTCACACATTCTTGCTTCCTTCAAGTCTTGCACAACGTGGCACACGCCAAGCGTTCACGAGGCATCTGTTCCCATAGCATGCATGGAAGGGCAGATGCACATTTCCGCAACTAAACAGTCCACCCCCGGGGGTGCTACCCTCTGCTTCCTGTACACACACACACACACACACACACACACACACAGAATTCATCATCAGGAAGAGCATGCGGCCGCAACCCCTGTGGTGTCAGCGCTGCACAGGCAACAAGGTCTCAGAGGGTCTCACACCAAATGCGGGCGTTCCCAGGCCCACCCACCATGCACGCCAGGAACCTTCTCCCCTGGACTGAGGGCTAGGAGGTTTGCCACCAGCAGATGGCGCCAATGGCTAGGGCTGAGCTTAGCAGATGCCCAGAGCCTGTACCTGGAAGCCCCAGGTCCCTTAACTGGCTTCGCTTAAGGAGCTGTGTGGCCTGGGGCTCCAGGCAGTTACTGAAATGGAGGCTTCCTTTCCTCCCTTCCTTCCTTCGTTCCCCTGGAGCCCCCATGACAGACGGTGACCATATGGAGAGGGGCACCTGCCAGGCTACAGCCCATCCCAGCTCAGCTCAAAGTGAGCCCTACATTCCCCCCCAAGCCCTGTGCTGAGCCCTGTGGGGGTGGGGGAGGGTGCCAACAAAGAAATGCCAGGGAGAAGTCATGCTTTTGAGTGCCTGCCGCGTGCCAGACCCTGCTGACCCTCCGCACACACGGGAGCCCCTCCCCCTCCCAATGCCTGGAAAGGGGGCATGGCTGTGGTCAACCATACACGGGGAGGTCAGGGCCCAGACAGCCTAGGAAGCCAGTCCAAGGCCATGCGGAAGGAAAGCACTTCTGACGGTCTCAGGTCCCATGTTCTTTTTTTGACACTCAAAATTTAATCCGAGCTGAGAGGAGGGTTCCAGGACGGGAGTCCTAAACATCCAGTGACACCAAAGCGCCCGTGGTCAGCCGTCCCCCGACCACCCCTTCCTCTGGGCAACTGTGTGTCGTGGGCCACGTTCCAGGCACACAGACGGAAGCGAGGCCTTTACAGCTCACGTTCTGGTGGAGAAGGAGAACCGTTAACACACCTGAGGAAGGCATGGAGGGCTTCCTGGAGGACAGGACTCTTTGACCCTCTCTGCCATGTGTGTGTGTGTGTGTGTGTGTGTGTGTGTGTGTGTGTGTGTGTCCTGCGGGCCTGGGGAACTGGTTAGAGACTGTCCACAGGTGCTCCTGAAGCTCTGAGCTTTCTAGTATCACAGACCAATGAGGGAAATTCTCTCACAGAGTCAGAAAGAGGTGTGATATGTGTGTGCATCTGGTTGGTTTTACCGATTAAGGGGCTTGGGGTTTTATTGTGTTGCGTTGTGTTTATGAGGAAGAGCAAGCAGGGGCAGGGAAACTTATGTCCCTCCGGTAGAAAAGGAGAGGCCACGACTGAGCCCTGAAACTAAGCCCAGAGGTGACAAAAGCCTCAAATAAAGATCTGCTTGTTTGACTTTAAAGGGCCCTTCATTCGTTAAATCAATTTTTGCAGCACCTATGATGCGCCAAAGCCATAGCCAAGAGCCCAACTAACCCAGCACCTACCTGGATCATCTCTCTGGGCCACCGGTCCACACAGCCAAGTGCTCAAGGTGGACTTCACTCCCCTCGGCAGATCAATTTCCTGCCCTGACTTTCCGAGAGCTCCCGGCACTCCCCTGGGATGCCCAGTACTCCGCCTACAGCCCTGCGTTGTAATAAATCGCCTCTAATGTCTGTCTCTCCCCTGAGCTGTGGGTTCTCCAAAATCAGAGAAGTTTTCAGTTCGTCTTCAAATGCCTAAAGCTTGAAAGAGGCTGTGAGCTGTGCTGGGGTGGCGGGAGAGTGGGGTGCGCAGTACAACTTAAAGAACCCAGATGGCAAAGGTAAAGGATGTAGAAGTAAGAGTTACAAGAATCGTGTGTCTCTCAGTCCTGACACAGATTGGGTCTCCCTGAACATGTCCGTCTGCCCCTTTGGGTCTCAGTTTCCTCCTCGGGAGAAGGGAGGAAGAATCTGTCCGAATCTGTCAGCGTGTGCTGTTCAGAGGATGAAATGCAGAGCTCTAGATTCTAGAGAGCAAGGCTCCCTGCGTTCGAGATAGAGGGGCTGGCCTGGGCCCCAAGCAGCTGCACATTGGCCCCTCACAGAAGCCCTGGCCCCACCATTGCTGACCTTGGGGCTCCGGAGTCTTGGCTGAGAAGCCCTGGGCAGGATGCTCCCCAGCAGGGACCACACTGGCCTGGGGGTGGGAGAATGGCCGGAAGCTGGCTGCACCTTTCTCCCAGGGCCTCAGTTTCCCCCCGTGTAGAGAGGGAGAGTTCAGGGAGGGAGCCAGAGGGAATGGGAAGGGGACTGGCTCCCAAAGATGCAGGCGACTTGAAGCTCCTTTACTCAAAGACACCCCAGAGCCTTCTATCTACCTGTTTCTCGATGCAGGGACGGCTTTTGGGACCTGTTCCCGCCCCCCTTCCCAGCTTCCCTGTGTTGTGTCCGTCGTATTTTCAGGACAAAGACGAACCTGTGGGCTGGGGGATGGGAATGGGGCCCTGGGAAGCCCATGGGTAGGGGAGACTCCTCTCTGCAGGACTGACGCTAGCAACACAGCACTAACTCCCCTCTGCAGGGACAGGGAGAGCCAGCTGCAGGGGGCTCTGATGGTGGACACCTGCCCCCATGGCACCTGCAGCCTTTCCTGGTGCTCAGAGAAAAAAAAACAATGATCGACAGTAGTGGTAAGAAGAAGAAGAAGAAGAAGAAGAAGAAGAAGAAGAAGAAGAAGAAGAAGAAGAAGAAGAAGAAGAAGAAGAAGAAGTCAGCTGGCTAAACCTGGTGTCAACTATGAGTCACCTGACCCCGCAAGCGGCCCGGGACCCTCAGTGGAGTGAAGAGGGTCGCTCTTTGGGCCGCAGAGGAAAGGCAATGGGACACAGGCCACGCCTTGCAACCTGAGTAATCAGAAGCCATGCACTCCTCCAAGCCTCGGCTCCCCAGCCGCGAAATGAGACAGACTCAGTGCCCTCCCACGTTGTGGGGTGCTTGAGAAGGGAAGGAAACTCACATGAGGCTTGGTGGGACTACAGTTCCGATGTTGAATCTGGACCCCACCTCCTCCAGGGAGGCTGAGGAAATCGGCTTAACTGCTCTGACCTCCTGGCTCCTTGGTCCTGTTCGCTTTACTAAAGGGAAAGATGTCTGGCTCTCAGAAACGCGGTAGAAAGAGACAATTTTATGTATCCTCTTTAACACCATGAAGATGAGAAGGTGCTTGCCTGCACTTAGGGCTTCGAAACCCCTGCCTGACAGTCCTTTATCTCTGCTGTTCCCCCACAGGCCTTCTCTCCAGCCCCCACGGCCATGGCCTTCACCCCGCTGCCACTGGAGGATACATCTTCACGCCCCCAATTCTGCAAGTGGCCTTGCGAGTGCCCGCCGTCCCCACCCCGCTGCCCGCTGGGGGTCAGCCTCATCACTGACGGCTGTGAATGCTGTAAAATGTGTGCTCAGCAGCTCGGGGACAACTGCACAGAGGCAGCGGTCTGTGACCCCCACCGGGGCCTCTACTGCGATTACAGCGGGGACAGCCCGAGGTACGCAATAGGAGTGTGTGCACGTAAGTGAGACCCTCCCTACCTTCTGGCCAGCCCCCAGCACCCCCAGCCCTAGCCTTCACCCATAGCCCTTCCCTTGGCCGGGCTCCTGCCTGCCTACTCCAGGCCATGGCCAGAGGTCAGAAGCTGGGCCCTTCCTGAGGACGGAGGGATGCTTGCATTTCACTTGCCTCTAGAACCTGGCTTCCTGCTCTCTTTTCCATCTGGGAGGCACATCCATGGCTGGCTGGGGAAAAGGAAGCCACCAAGAAAGACCTAAGCATGGTTTCATTCTTTTAGTGGTAGACACTTTTTGAGATGCCTATGCTTCCCAGAGGTACCAAAACCCATCAGAGTTCCAGATATTTTAGTACTGTTTTAAATTTAAATAATATGGTTTTTAAAAACTTTGAAAGAATTAAATCCAGCAGCCTGCAATCATCTCTTTCTACACACCCATGTTCCTTTCGTTACTATTGTCACTTTTGATTCTTTTGCACTTTCTTCTGGTAGTTACCAATATATAATACGTGTCTTCTATGATAACTTAATTGGCTTAAAATACCAATTTTGAATAACCTCTCAAGGTTCCTATATGTTAGCTGATGACTTAACTCCTCAATACCACCTGACACATCCCGTATCTTCCAGTATCATTTTCATAATTTTGGGATATACAATAATCGGTATTTATAACATTTTGACTAGTAAATAATTGTTGCTGAAGCATGAGCTATTGTACTCATTTGAATTTCCTTTCTCATGAAGCTTTTGGTTTTCCTGGGGGTTCTAATTGCCTTTGATTTTTCTTTAGTTTCAGTCTTTATAATATCCTCATGTGGGGTAGACAACTGTCTGTTGTTCTTTTGCTCTTCAAGTGCTCTGTCATGTCCTTTTTTGTTCTCAGGAACTTCCTTTCAAGGACTTTCTGGTCTTATGCTTCTACCTGGAATGATAGTCACTTAGCTTGAATCATCTAAGCATTTATTCGAAATACATGACCCAGCATGATGAAAAGAGGTAACTAGGCATCATGATGCAGCAGTCTAACTTCTGAAAAATTATGCAAAGCCTCGTAAACCCAAGAACCTCTTTCTTCCCTTAGTGCTGAATTAAGACTTCTCCATAACTATGACCCCATACACACCCAATTACATGTTCACACACAGTGTAGTCTCTCATCCTCAGCTAACCTGCTCTATCTCCTGAGGTGGGTTGTTGATGAGGGTTATGCACATAATTCCACACCGAATGATCCTACCTGTGCCTCACAGTTAATTATAAGCACTCTCTGCTCTTTCATCATTGGTTCATGCTTCAACTTTCATACCAAGACATACCAAGTAAGCATCCTTGACTCTCCCGTCCTTCTACTTTTTCCCCTTTTATTCAGACTCATTAATAGCCCCACAAAACAGTGTGTTCAAAGAGAACTTGCAGCACCACCTGCACAAAATCATCCGACGTGTTGGTTAAAAAGGTTATTCTTCAGCCCGACCCCAGACCTACTGAGTCAAATTCTCTAGAGGTGAAGGTGGGTATGGACACTTTCAACAAGTTTCCCGGGGGATTCTCATGCATACCCAACTCTGAGACTGCTTATAGAGAGAGACAGCTGTGTAGTCCCTCCCCACACCTAGGTGAAGAAAGCCGGCTGAGCCTTCCTCCACTAGGATCCCTTCCAGCTAGATGAGGCCGTCTCCTCATTTCTTTCTCCTTTTTGAAGCTGCTCTTCAAGGTCACTAAAAAGGGGGCTCAGTTCATTGTAATCATTCTAATGTCTAAAGCTGCACTGACATCTTGCTATGGTGCCAGGCACCATGCCTTATTCTCTCGTGGACCCAGAGATTATGCAGGCCCTGAAACTGCCTCTCCTTCCTGCCATTCCCCACCAGAGACCCAGAAAACCGCCTTCCCAATCCATCTACACCCCCATCTCTTCGTATCTCAGGTTCTGCTTCTGCTCACTATAGCCTCTTATCTCCTTGTCACCATGAGTCCCTGTGTATTCCCTTCCCTTTTTTTCTGGAAAGAAAACTGGTCCACAGATTCTAATAGGTATCACACTTGCCAAGGGGTCCCTGGTCACATCGGTTTGCAGACACTGGAATAAACAATGTTGAACAACTATACAGAACTTCCGAGAGGTTTTAACTGTTCATGTCCACTGTAAAATTCCAAAGTGGGAGATATCAGAGGAAGCCCGATTTTTGAAACTTATGCGCACAGGGAATTGCTTTGTCCAGGTAGATGTTTACCACTCAACCATCCCACCACACACGCATGCACATTCCCAGATACACACATTGCACGCATGCGTGTGTACACACATACATACACAACTCACGAGTGTTCCGCCAAACATCTTCCCAGAAAGGCTGCCGTGGTGTCTGAGTTCATGAGACGCCAAGGCAAGAAAGAGGAGAGGCCAAGATCTGATGGCCATGCAGAGGAAGGCACCTCAGGGTCAGAGGGAGAAAGAATTAAGGACCCCTTTAAACAGACAATTTTTTGGCAAGTGGTCAACTCAGCCTATAGATGGTCCCCAAGACAGGTGACATCTATCCTTGGAGATGTGCACGTAATGAGGCGAGACAAGATAGGTCACAATGAGCAGTCATAGCACTGGCGCACGTGACTCAGAGAAAGGAGGAATGATGGCAAATTAATGAATGTCGGCTTTGGCTACCAGCGGTCACAGCTCCCGGGTACCAGCCACCATGGCCAGGCAGAAAAGCAAGCTAGGTCTTGTCCATTCTGCTCTGTCTTCCAGAGAATCCAAAAATCCAGATTTGTATATACTTTGTAATGTTGGTGACGTGTTCCAAAAAAAAAAAAAAATTTTTTTTAAACGCTCTGTGGGCCAACCTAAATACTTCTGTGGGCAAAGAGTGACCTCTGAATTATACTCTTTGACTATTTTGGTTGTACAAACATTACTCGGCCTTTAACTCAGCTGGGTCAGGCCTGAGAGCAGTGTGGCTTGCTGGAAGGATCGTGAAATTTACAGGCAGACAGACCTGGGTTTTGAATCTTAGCTCTGCCATTTGCTGGCTACGTGACCTTGGGCACATCACTTACGGAGCTTGATCAAACCAACTTCATGCAGTTGTTGAGAATAAACAAAGACCGCATTAAAGCCTCAAATGTAACCGGCTATCGTGGGTCATTGTTTTCCTTGCTTTGTTTTATTTAACTTTCCCTTGTAGAAATTATCTCAGCCTTATCCGTGGTCATCCTCAGAGAAGCCTTGCTCCAGGCTCAGCCTCCCCTGTGTGAAGAGCAAGGGCGTAGAAAGCTTCTGCATGGTCTCTGGGGCTGGACAATCTAAGTTCGAATCCCAGCGCCAAAGCTAACTAGTATGGTGTCCCTAGGCAAGCTAGTGTCAGTTTCCTCAGCAAGGAAAATGTGAAAAATAAGGCCTACTTCTTTGGGTGACTGGGATGTCAAGAACTTGATGCATGGTCAGGGCACAATACAGATTAGGGCTCACCCCACCTCTCATCCATCCATCCATCCATCCGTCCATCCATCCATCCATCCATCCATCCACTGACTCATCCCATAGCTATGAACAGGTAGGTGATATTTCAACAGTGGGGTTACAAGGCATGGCCCCTGTCCTTGCTGCCACACAGCTGACACTCCATTAGGGTGCAGGTAAGGGAAGTGAAGGTCTGGATGGTGGAGCAAGGGACCTGAGTCCCTGCTGGCCCTTCAGTAAGCACAGGCCATGGCTGTGCTTGCGAAGTCTGAGATTAGATAGGAGATGGTGAGCTTCACCACTAGTTTGAAAGTCAATGAGGAGGGCGCATTAGAGTCGGCCGTGGGCCCAGCCGTTGTACCTTTCATACACCCCTACTCTCACTCTCACAGGTGGTGGGCAGGCTGCCCAGGGCCACCAGCACCACCACTGTCCCCCACCGGCCCCAAACTCCCAAAGGACTGGGAACAGCTTTCAGAAGCAGTGGTTCCCAATCTTGACTGCAAACCGGATTCACCTGAGGAGCTCAAAACCGCCGAGCTCAAGGGATCCTGGGGGGCTCAGTCGGTTAAGCATCTGACTCTCGATCTCAGCTCAGGTCTTGATCTCAGGGTCAAGAGTTCAAGCCCTGCCTTGGGCTCCGCAGTGGGCATGAAGCCTACTTAAAAAAATAAGTAAGTAAAAATCCTAAAGCCAAAAAAATAATAAAAGCACAGAGTCCCATAATCTGAGGCTCGGTGTGGGGGTCAGATTTTTTGAAAGCTCCCCAGGTGGTGGTTCCGTGAAGCTGGTGGTGAGGGCCACTGTGCCAGGGGCTCCCAGCACTACTGCCTTGTCCATGCAAAGTCCCCCACATGGGGGCAAGGACCAGGCTTCTGCACACTCCTTCCTCCCCACCAGCAGCGTGCACGCACACACACGCACGCGAACGCACACCTTCCCGGGGCAAGGGCGCGGTCGGGAGTGACTCAGAACAAACGGATGAGTGATTCACCCAACGTGCTTCCTCCGCTTCTTCTTGTTTTGGTTTGGTTTGTTTGTTTTTCCAATTTCCCCTCCTTTACTGGTGTCTGGTGGAAGGAAATGGGCTGTGGAGCTATCGCTCCCCTGGGTTCGAGGTGCAGCTCTACCATTTCGCCCGCTGGGTGACCTTGAGCTAATGAATCACTTGACCTCCCTGCCTGCCAAACAGGGAAAATAAAACTCTCCCCGCGAAGCCCCTGAGAGAACCGAATGAGATAACGTATCAGATGGTGTCTGGCACGAGATCAGATGGTCAGCGAGCGGTCGGGCCTTTCCTTTCTGGGCCTCCTCCCTGTACAGTCTCCTCCCAGGAAAAACAGCAGCCGCGCCAACATTCCCACAGGCTGAGACTCTGTGTCTAGCTGTGCCGCCTGCGGCACGTGACTTCACGGAGACTCAGTTTTGCTGGACCTGAAAATGAAGGTGGTAGTGGGTGGTGTTTCCTTCTAGGATGAAATCAGCAAGGCAAGGAAGCCTGGCACGAGCCGGTCAGGTGACCAAGGACAGAGACAGCCAGCACCCAGGAACTCTCACTCCGGGTAGATAGTGGGATTATTTTTATTATGCCTGACCACCTGCAGGCAAACCTGGGAGATGTTCTAGAACCATTGTCAGACTGGGGGTGGGGGGCATTCTTGCCGCCTGGAGGCTCTCCGCCTGCGCTTCCAGACACTGTCCTCCAGGTAGGACATGGTGTCTGGGGTAGAAGAGGGGGTGCAGCGCTGGCCAGGCCCAGCAGCCCCAGATCCCACCCCCACCCCCCACCCCCGCCAGGACTCCGAACTTGCTTACGCACTCTCATGTGTAACAAAGAACTCTTGAGGCCACTCACCCCCAAACCAGCTTCTTGTCTCCCCTTCCAGGGTTCAGGTCACAGGAGTCATTCCTGACCCCTCTCCTCGCTCCTCACATCCATCCAGCAGCTTCTCCTTCCCAGCACATCCAGAAGCTGAGCCCTCCTCTGGGGTCCAAGCATAGCCACCCCACGCACCTGGATCACGGTGGAGGGGGCTCCTGACACCGCCCTTCTCCCTCTTCTTTCTGTTCACCCTTCAACACCCCGCGTGCTCCTGGGCAGCATAAGTCCTAGAGTTGAGTCAACAGTTTCTTCTCGAACACATCCTGTGTGTCCAGGTGCTGGCTTTGCACCTTCCTCCGAGTCTGCAAGGAAGCCGTCTCTCCCCTCATCTCCTGCACCCCCCCCCACCTCCCAGGCCTGCTCCCACCTGGCCCTTTAAACCTGGCGCTCCCCCCTGCCTGGAAGGCGCCTCCCGCAACGCCTGCGCGGGCTACCTGCCTCCCCTCCTTCCGCCTTTGCTGAAGCGGCCTCCCTTGGGTGAGGCTTGGATGCCCTCTTTAATGAGCAACCGCCCCCACCCCAGCCACCCCTCCCCTTCACTGTTCTCCCTGGGACTGGTGCCCGTCAACACTCTGTGTGATCTGTCTTTTCTGTGTCACCTTCCGCTGTAAAGTAAGCTCTGTGGGGGCACCGTTTGTTTGTTTTGTTCACTACTGAATCTCCAGTGTCTAGAACCTTCTATAAATATGCATCGAATGAGTGGAATGGTGTTTCCAAGTGTCCTGATTGGCTTTACACTTGGCCTTCTCAGAATCACGACCCTAGAGGTATTTGTCAGTACTAGGCTCTGTGCCACATGCTGGGGGTGGCCAGGGCGCGCATAGGTTCGGGCCCCCACCGTGCCCTAGCTTCCCACGGCCGCCAGGCTGGCCCCTGGGGGTCACTCAGTGGGTAGTGGCTGAGCTGCACCCCACACTCCCACACTGCCCCACCCTCGCCCACGGAGGGCGCCCCCCGGGGTCTGCGACAGGTCCAGAGGCGGGAGGTGGGCGCATGGGGGCGCGGGGCCCCCTGGGCCTGACCCGAGCATGTGTGTGTGTGTGTGTGTGTGTTTGCAGAGGTGGTCGGCGTGGGCTGCGTCCTGGACGGGGTGCGCTACACCAACGGCCAGTCCTTCCAGCCCAACTGCCAGTACAACTGCACGTGCGTGGACGGCGCGGTGGGCTGCACGCCCCTGTGCCTGCGCGCGCGCCCCCCGCGCCTCTGGTGCCGGCACCCCCGGCGGGTGCGCGTGCCCGGCCGCTGCTGCCGGCAGTGGGTGTGCGACGACGATGCCACAAGGCCGCGCAAGACAGCGCAGCGCCACACGGGCGCCCTAGGTGGGTTCGGGGGAGGGGCGGCAGGGTGGGGGAAGGGAGGGAGGGACCCCGACCCCCGTGATTGGCGCAGGCACGGAGTCTCAGTCCCAGAACACCGCCCCTCTAGCTGCGTGACCTCTGGGACCCTATTTCTCCATCTGTGCCACCTGTTTTATGGGGTCCTCCCAGCATAAAATGAGGAAGAGCTTTATCAAAGAATAAAGCCAGGTACGTGGGATTCAATGTTATCCTACTTAAGAGATTAGGTGGGGGAGTGGCGGTGCAGGAACATGTGTGTGCCCCAGGAGAAGTGTGAATACCTAGTGCAAGGGAGGGAGAGGGAGTAGGTGGCTTCCCCCTCACTATGGAGGCCAGGCGGACAGGTGAGGCTGCAGCCAGGTAAACCAGGCCAGAGGAAGCCCTGGAAAAGGAGAGGGACAGGCCCATTTGTTTTAACACTACTTACTGCAGTAGCCCAGTGCCAGCCACTTACCAGGTGCCAAACCGACGTTTGTTATATGGATGGATGGGCCGATGGTTAGATGGATGGATGCTTAATTGGATGGATGGATGGATGGATGGATGGATGGATGGATGGATGGACGGACAGATGGATGGACAGACGGACGGGCGGACAGATGGATGGATGGGAGGGAAGGCAGATGGATGGATGGATGAATGGATGAATTGATGGATGGACAGACGGACAGACGGGCAGGCAGATGGATGGGTGGGTGGGTGGATGGATGGATGGATGGACAGGTGGATGGACAGGCGGCAGATGGATGGATGGATGGTTGGTTGGATGGATGGATGGATGGATGGGCCAGTGAGGATCTTAGCTAGGGGAGTGGGGGTGGAGGTCGCAAGGAAGATAGATGTGAGAAGCACTGCGTGCGGAGTAAGACTGTAGCCATAGCATCAACCCACTGCATGCACTGAAGGGGAGGGAGGTATAGATAGTGACTCCCAGAGCTCATCATGGGCTGGGTGAGAAAATACGAAGAGCACATGGAGGGTGAAGGAGATCTGTGTTGTTTGGAACAGGTTGAGTTTGAGGCTGGGGGCCCCTGGCCTGGCATCACCCAGAGGAGCAGCCAGTGAGGCAGCATTGGAGGGGAAGGGGGGGCAGAGAGAGCTCTGGAAGCCATGCAGCTGGGGCTGCTGACGGCAAGTACGATGTCCCAGGGAGACTGTGCAGAGCAAGGTTTCTCAACCTTGGTACAGACAACATCTAGGACCGGAGAAGACTCCGCGGGGAGGGCTGCCCTGTGCATTGTGGGATGTTTAGCAGCACCCCAGCCTCTCCCTACTAGATGCTTGCAGCACCTGCCCCTCAGGCAGTAACAACCCAAAATACCTCCAGACATTGCTATCTGTACTCGGGGGACAAAATCGCCCGCGTGGAGAACCATAGGGATGGCCCTGGAAACACCACCATTTAAGGTGAGGGGGGAGGAAGCTGAGACGGGCAAATCCAAGAGGCAGGACAGAAAGAGGAGAAATAGGTTTTGCAGAAACCACGTGACGAAGGTGTCTCAGAGAACAGACTGGAAAGCAGGAAAGGAGGGGGTGCGAGGAGACCAGCCTAGGCAATAGAGACCTGCCCCCAGGCTGTGCACCCTCAGCGGGCGCCACCCTTCGGGGGTCCTGCCCCACCCCTCAGTTCAAGGGGAGCACAGCCTCTCCAGAGGGGCTTCGGGTGGTCCCCGGGGGCCGAGCCAGCCCCAGGAAGAAGCAATCTGGTGTTGATGGAGGAGGTGGCAGGGAATGCTCAGTTCCCAGCAGGCCCAAGGCAACAGCCCCCCCCCCCACGGCCCCCAACTGTCAGAGCCACACAAGGGTCACAGGAGGAGGGGCAGTGGCTGGCTGCCCATTGTATGTGGCCCAGTGACCCCCTTCTGACCCAGCCCAAGCAGAGCCCCTGCCTGCCAGCGGGTGACCCAGAAACCAAAGCCTTTTTATCCTCCTACGCAAACCCGTTCCTCCTCCTCCCTCCTCCGTGCTCCCAGCCCCAGCCCCTCCCAGCCCTCCTCCCTCTGCTGTTAGATGCCTCTTCTTGTTTTCCTCAGCCTCTCATAGCTCCCCCGTCTCACACATTCTTCCCGCCTTCGTGCATCCCTGCCCCCTGCACACCTGTTCACGTGGAGGGGGGCTGGGTACCCGGCCTGACCCTTCTCCTCCCTCCCTCCCTCTGATCCTATTAGATGTCCTTACTTTCCTCTTTCCCCCTCTCTGCCCCTCCCCCATTCTTTGATCACTATCTTCCTCCCCCCACATAGGCTCTCTCCCCCACCTTCTTCTCTTCCCCTCCCCTCTCCCCTGCCCTACTATCTGTCTTCCCCACCCCACCCCCCTGCCCAGTCCTTTCTCTGTCTTCCTGCCCATGTACACGTGTATCAGAGAGGGACTGGCCTGATCTTTAGAGCTTCTCTCATGTGTCTTGTTCTGTCTTTCTGGGGGACCTCTCCTTTGTCTTTCTGGCTTTTTCCTTGCCCTCCCCTCTAGCTCAGCCCATTTTCCCGTTCCCCAGGGAGTAACCGAGCACTCACCATGTTCTAGATGCTGGGATGCATACATTAATAGAACCATCCAAGACTCGCTGTTGAGCTGACAGTCAAGAAACCACGTAAGCTCATGTTTACTGCGAGTCTGCTAAGGGCCAGAGACAGCTCGTGGCTTTCCTATGTGTGACCCCATCTTTTCCGTCCGCAGCCCTGGGAGGGAGATGCTAGCATCAGCCCGTCTTGCAAGTGGGGAGCCTGAGCCACGGAGGTGGGGGCTGGCTTATCGAAAGTTGCCCAGTTACTAAGTGGCCATGCTCATAGTTGAACCCAGGCAATTTGGCTCTGAAGCCTGCGTGTCTCCTTAACCACTGTGCCCTCAGCATCACACAGATTAGATATTAGGTTCTAGGGTATAGACACTCCCTCTGACCTTCTCCAAATAAACTTGACCACTGAAGGGGCAGGGAAAGCGCCTGGCAGGTGATATGCATGCAATAAACAGGCCCTTTCACGGGCCACCAGCCGTGGAAGGCAGATATTTTGTTCCAACCAGGACACGGAGGCCCAAGGGTGAGCTATCTGGAGCCACACGGTGTGTAGGTGGCCACGCAGGATGTGGCCCACCTCTCTCTAAAGAAGAGAAGTAGAGGAGCTCAGAGCAGATCCTCCTCTCCCTGGGGAGGGGTTAGACGTTAACTTGCCCCTTGGGGAGTGGGTGAGACAGCCCACTTTTCTCCTCTTGGAGTGTCAGGGTCCTGGACCCTGTGGGCGCTGAGGGTGGGGAGGAGTGGCTGACGGCGGCTGGAAACTCAGAGCCTGGTCCCTATATCCACAGCGGCCACGGGTGGGGTGGAGCCGTGGCATCGGAACTGCATAGCCTACACTAGCCCGTGGAGTCCCTGCTCCACCAGCTGCGGCCTGGGGGTCTCCACCCGCATCTCCAACGTCAACAGCCAGTGCTGGCCAGAGCAGGAAAGCCGTCTGTGCGCCCTGCGGCCCTGCGATGCGGACATCCATCCACACATCAAGGTGAGGAGTCCTCCTTCCGGGGTGCGGCAGGCATCTCACACTCACAGCCAGGCAAGCCCGGCTCAAGGCCTGGCCCCTGCCCTTCCTCGAGGGGGCCATTTGTGAAATGGGGAGAGTTAAGCCCACTTTGTAAGAGTTCCGTGGGATAATGTGTGTCCGTGGGTGCCAGTGAATGGAAGCAATTGTGGTGACCGTATTCTTAGAAGCGGGGTCACTCTGGAGAGAACTCAGAGGCCCTCGGCAGTGCTCTCCTGTGGAGACGCAGGGGGACCGTCACCGACTGCCACTCCCTTGTGCTGCTGTCCCAGCCCCCACCCACACACACGGACGTGACAGCCGCGCCGGCGGAAGGAGAGCTCAGGACAGCTCGAGGCAAATGTGCACCCACCGCTGACTGCACACGACCGTGGCCGGTCTCGGCATCTCTGAGCCCCGGGTCCCTCATCGGTAGCACTTGGAGTTGGTCAGACATCTTTTCTGGCTTTGAGAGGCTAAGATGATCAAAGGATCAAGGACAGAGTGGGCCGCAGTAGTTAGAAATGGGTCTGATTTGCCTAACTCAAGGCCTCCTCGCTTCTGTCTGGGGACTGGTCGAGGTTCTGGTGCCACATAAAAGGAAAAGAAAAAAAGGAAAGAACATCTGAGCCCTGACTCCGTTCTTGGAGCACTGATGGCCGCTTGGGGTTGCTGAGGAGAGAACTGCCCAGGGGTCAGGACAGCCCAGCTTCCCACGAGTCCTCACTCCGGTCCCCCCCGCCCCACACCAGTTATCTCTGTGCCAGCCAACTGGATCTTTCCACCTTCTCCTTCTCCTTCTCCCCTTCTCTCTTCCTGTCCCTCTCTGATCAGTTATCTCTGCCACTCTGGCCTCCGTATTCATGGTGCCTGGTGCACAGTAGGTCCTCAGCAGCTGTGGCTTAACTGAGAGCATGAATGGAAGAGTCACGTGCAGTAGGAAAGATGGGAGCAAAGGCCTCACGCTGGGTGAACGCACCGTGCATTTGAGGTAGAGGTGGGTCTACCATAAGGCCAGCTCAGGTCCTTGCCGTTGGCCCTTGCATCCCGCCCAATTTTGGTTTTGGAATAATGAACCCAAGATGGCTTCTCGAACTGTATCAGCCTCAGGCCCTGCAGAGCCTGGACCCGCTCTACCCCCAGTTCTGCATGGGGCCGGTACACCGGAGAGCCATTCATTCAGTGAACTGAGTGAGTGCCTACTGTGTACCAGGCACTGAATTAGACCGTAGAGTCACAGAAAGGGCCCTGCTCTCAAGTGGCCCATTGTCCGGTGGGAGAGACAGAGCTAGCATTCTAGAATGTACTCTGGTCAGACAAGCTGCATGGGGACGATGTGTGTGAGAGTCTGTGGGGAGCGGAGGAGGAACAGGACAGAGGAAAGCGCGTCTCCCCGATAGTGGAGCCCCGTGATGCCTCTGGCACTCACCAGCTGGACACGTGGTGGACGAAAGAAGTTACACAAGCATCCTGCGTTGGTAAAACTGTGAGAGTCTTGGGCACTGGCAAGGCAGGAATGTAGGAAAGAAGACCTCATGGGTTGCGGGGAGGAGCCGTGTATGCAAGGCAGGGCCCTGTGAGGCCTTCAGCTACTTCTGCTTACTGTGTCTGGGTGTCGTTGTGTTTGGGGAGGTCCATCCTAGCTTGAAGCTGCCACAAACTTGAAGGGAAAGTGGAGTGTTCCCGCATGGTGAGTGCAAAGGGAGAATTGAGGGCTTGGAGGGAGGAAGGTGGCTGTTCATCCTCTGAGCATCCCAGCTGGAACCTTTTTCCTTTTCTGCAGGAAGGGAAGAAGTGTTTGGCCGTGTACCAGCCCGAGGCACCCGTGAACTTCACCCTCGCCGGCTGCACCAGCACACGCTCCTACCGGCCGAAGTACTGTGGAGTGTGCACAGACAGCAGGTGCTGCATCCCCTACAAGTCCAAGACCATCGACGTCTCCTTCCAGTGTCCCGACGGGCCTGGCTTCTCCCGCCAGGTGCTGTGGATCAACGCTTGCTTCTGCAACCTGAGTTGTAGGAATCCCAACGATATCTTTGCTGACTTGGAGTCCTACCCTGACTTCCCAGAAATTGCCAATTAGATGGGCACAAAACATGGGGCTCGGGGCGTGGCCCAGTGTGTGCGAAGCAGCCAGCCCTCCGAGGCCCACAGCTGAGCCTTCTTTGTCCACCTCCCACTGACTTCTAACTATCCTGATCCAGACCGTTGGCCCCCTGTCCCATTTCCAAACACCCAAATGACCCATTCCACTGCCGCTCGGGCCCAGACTCTGACTTCTGTCCTTGGCAGCTTTCTGAATACACTCCAGACAAAGTGCCTGCTTCCAGCTCTTCTGGACAAAACTCAATGGTGTCCAAGTGATTGGAAGTCCTGCCGGATCTTACCTGAGTTCCAAGGAACAGCACCAGCTAGGCATTTCCCCTCGCTCGTTCCCTTTCTAGACGCCATACCGCAAGACTCTTTGGGTCCATTCAGAAGGGCAGACAGAATCTAGGACAATGGGGCCGTCTGTTATGTGGGCCCTGCCAAGTGGACTCTAATAGACAGTTCTGGTAATAGCACACCCAAGTGTCTCTGATTCCAAAGATCTGTATACCGAAGGTCACCAAATATTTGCCAAGTGAGGTGAATTGTTGTTTGGTTTTGATTTTTAATGGCAAATTGTGTTCATGAACCCAGGCTTTGTGGAGGTGAAGTCTGTCTTCATCCCTCCCTGTAAAGGTTCCAAATTGGCTCGTTTCGGTCAGAAATGCCATTTGATAACTTTCATTCTTATTCATGGGAAAAGTCTCCAGTCAATACTGTAGAGTCAGAACAGGGTCAGAAGAAGCGATGGACCCTCGCGTGAATTTGCTGCTGGCCGACAGGACACTGGGCGGCTGGGCAGCTCTTCTGTGCATCCAGACCCTCTCCCTACTTGGGTGCTCCTGGGAGTTGGTGGTGCCTTTAGGATGGCCTCTCGGACCCTGGAGAGTGGCATCCCAGGATGTCTCTCTCCCTTGGGAGACCTAGCTGAAGCCCAGGCCAGACCTGCCTGAAATAACTGAGACAGTTACAGGCTATGTGTGGCTCAAAACAAGAAGTGGATCCACTCTGCATCAGCCTGGAGCAGCAGAGTCACCTTCTGGGCCCAGGACACCTGTCCTTCTCTTGCAGTGACCCTTCTCACAGACTTCGGGTCTGCTGACCCAAGCCCCAGTCCTGGTGCGAGGACAGAGGTTGACCAGTTGTTCAGAGTCAGAAATCTATTTAACAGGGACCAAATGCAAAAATGGGTTGAGGCTCAAAAGGAACAGAAGGCTGTTATGAATGGAAATGAGGCTGTTATCTATCTGATTAGCAGAATATAAATAATTACTGTTATAATTCTTTTATTTACTACCTTCTGTTTACCAGACATCGTTCCCAGTGCTTTATGTGCATTAGCTCATGGAGAAACGTGGCGATTGTGTTGGAAAGTGCCTCTTACTATTTCCATTCTTACAGATGTGAAATAGGAGCTTGGCAGGACCCTTGACCAGTCACCCAGCTGCAAGTGGGGAAGTCGGGATTCAAATCCAAGCCCGACTGACTTCACAACCCGTGTCTTTGTCCTTACTTTTAGAGCTTCCAGATGTGTCGAGCGGAAAGACATGTTGGAAATAACTGACTTCCTACTCTTGTCTTCCACTCTTTTTACTGTCTCTCTAGCTCCTTTCCCAAGAGAGGAGTATCTGCCTTTCAGATATGTAGGTGCCTGCACATTCAAAAAATACGGGATGGACAAAATACCCTCGGATCTTCTGTTCGTCCTCCCCTCCTTCAGATCAGGAGTCAGCTCTGATCATGCGTTTAAGAGATGGTTTTGTCCACACAATGCTGTGGATGAGAGACATATGGCTTATTCCTGAGGGGATTCGGTGCTGGCGGCCTGGGATTCTGAAACAGGAAAAAAAGGACTGGAAATATGCCCCCTTGACCGTGACCTCCCACACGCCTGGTCCAGTATAAGGCGTACAGTGGTCCTCAATATCTATTTGAGGAATAAAGGAAACTATGTCTGTGTTCCTACTTTTACTCAGAGGCCCTCTTCTTCCAAAGGTACGTGACAATCGAAGTTGTATCAGCCAAATCTTATTTTAAGTGCCACGGGGAAAGAGACACTTACTATTTCAACCGATGTATATTTTTGTTGAAAGAAGAATTTCGTGCAAAGAGCATTTACCCCAAGAATAAGCTCTTCTCTAAACCTGTGTGGATCTCTGTTGGATTTTCTCAGAGTGAAATCTACAAAGGTAGATTTGTAGGTCTACAAAGACCTCAGAGTGAGGTCTGTAAAGTACAAGGACTGGATGACAGCTAACCACATTTGACATCCCAAGAGCTAGGTTCTTCCTGAGTTTGCATCCCAGTTTGGAAAGATGAGCACAGCTTCCAAGATCGTAGGAAGCCTGGTTGGAGGAATCTGGGATTATCTTGGGGCCGAGTGGGCTGGGGTACCTCCAGACACTATTGGTTTTGAGAAACGGGCCTGTCCTCGGCAGGTGCCATGGGGAAAGTCTCAGCTCTATGCTTTGAAGTCATGGGGAAGGAGATTTGGGACCAATATAAGGAAAATCTTTTTAGCAGTCAGAATCACTAGGCAGTGGTGTGTGACCTACTTCCCTAAAAGTTAGGAATATTAATCACAGTGGAAGTCCCTTTATCGAAAGCTTACATGGTGCCACCCACTTTGCTAAGTTTTAAACGATCTTACTAATATTCACGACAGTTGGAAGGAAGCTTCTCGTCCCTCTTTTTATACATGGAAAGGTTGAGATGCAAAGAGGCTGAGAAATCAAGAGGCCAAAACAAGTTGGAGCCCAAATTCCAGCTTATTCCATTCGGCCTTGCTCTTGGGGAGGCCTCCAGGAAGAGCATGAATGATCCCCAGCAGAGTATCTCATGGGCAAGACCATCCAGTAGACAACATAGATGGGCCTTCCAGTCCTTTGTTGCTCAGTGCTCTGGGATAAGGGAGAGACACAGTAAGGACTTGTTAGCCTTTGGTGAAGAAATTCACATTAGTGCTTCAAGTGAATTTCTCTGGCATGCTTAGGTGGGAAGATAGAGGAAGCCTGTATTCTCAAACCACTACTTCTTGCTAAACCTTATTGCCAACACTTGGTGAGCACTCACTGAGTGCCAGGCCCTGGCTAGGTGCTTTACTGCTGTATCTTTCTGAATCCCCATAGCAAACCTATGAGACATGGCACTACTATCATTTCCCGCTTTAGATTAAGGTGCTGGGGCTCACAGACATTAAGTTCTTTGCTCAGTGTCTTACCAGCTTGTGAACTGCAGGCCAGGACTGCCATCCAGGGTTAGTCTGACATGTGAGCCACCTGTCCTCACACAAAGATCAGTGAGCATGCCCCCGAAACCAAAAGGTACCCAGAGATGCTTCACTGGCAACAGGGCAATGACTGCGATGTTAATTTCAAGGTGATTCAGAGAGGGAGTCAGGAAAGTAGATTTGAATGATACGGTTGTCTATAATCTCATTAACATTGTGCTGTGTGTACGTAGAGATAATGGGCAAGCAACGAGACCCCTGACTATTCTATTGAATTAGGTCACTGCTTTTTAAAGACTTACCTTGATGTAAAGCAACTTGCACAGCTTGGGACTCATGAATAGTCAGAATGGTCAACTATGGATCTCTGCACTTATACGTATGTGTGTGTGTATATACGTGTCTGTTTATATCTGTTTTCAAACTGTGACTTCATATTTAAGTATTCCTACCGCCATTTTCGCAAGTGGCTAAAAAATACAAACGAAGAAACGTCTTGGAATCTCCCAATAGAGGAAAAAAGTAGCACACGGGCGATCTGTCATGTTCTACAACATTCCTCATTTTTCTCACGATTCGTGTAGCGCGGAACGTGTTTGTTCAATGTGAAGGATTTTCGGTGCGCAAATTCCCCGTTTATGCTTTTCTCCTTAAAGCAATAAATCGTCAGCAAAATGACTTACTGGATCTTCTTGTACTTCAGTTATTATGCGCCAGGATGGAGCACTGGGGACATTCCATGGATGTGCAGATGGTGGAAAATAGGTCCCAGATATTTTACGTATGGTAATGAAAATAGCTAGATGTTTAGAGACAGGCTTAGAGGTATGAATTCTGAAATTCACAAAAGACCAGTGCTACACGTATGTCCACACTGGAAGATAGCTCCTGGAAATTTAATATTTGTGCATTCAGTCAGTCAGTCACTCACTCACCCATTCAATGCCTGTCTACCAGCTAGACTATGGGTACTTGGAGGGCGGGACGATGACTACATCCTCTGGGCCCAGCACGCTGCATGGCACATGGCAGAGACTGGGCAAGCGGGGATTGGAGGACTGGGTGCATAGAGATGGAGATTGCCAGCTGCTTTGGGAACCAGTGGGAGTAAAGAGGAGTGTAGGGGAAGTTGCGTGATAAAACGAAACAGCTCTGACTTCGGGACTTAAGTGGATCTTCTCATACTTCAGTCTTTACTGGAGCTCCTCACTTAACCCATCTGAGCCTCAGTTTCCTCAGTTGTGAGATGCAGAAAATGACGGGACCTGCCTTTGTGGCAGTGATGGTGTCATATGGAAAATGCAAAGGGCATTTGAGGTCCCAGGACAGGGCTTGGCACATGGTAAGAACTTAACAAAACCAGGTACTGTTGGCAGATTTTCAGTTTCCTCAGGAACGGGGGATAACCAGCAAAACTCTAGTAAAAATTTGAGTCAGGGTATGTGCCTGTATATTTTTACTTATTTAGATGGTTATGTCAGAGTAGTGAATATACAGAAAACGTATCAACAATGTTTGGTTGAACGCTTTTTTACTTTAATAATCATATGCTGCTTGATCCCTTAACTTTTATTTTTATGCCCTTGGTATGGGCTGTAATTTGATTAAACATCCTGCTTCTTTAAGGCAGGAACTTTTCTGCCTTTGCTGTACTTTTCTGTCTCCCAAACCCAACGCAGCACATAGCACATTCATAGCCACGTGGACAGGTATGTGTAGGGCTGAGTACAGGGAATGAAAGACACGTTTGATGCCTTCTGGTGAAATCCTCCTCATTCACTATCCCCAAAACACATTATGCTATTATAATAAAGTCAGAGGGAGAGCCAATGAATAAAAGAATAATTGCCACGTGAATTCTTTCCCAGAACACTTCTATCCTGAAACATACCTTTTTCAAAATTGGAACTTAGACCATGGAGTCCTATAGATGCCTCAGATTAAGAGAAATGTGTAGATTAGGGGAGAAACTTCTGATGACATCAGGTGGGTGAAATTTCAGGAAAATGGGATTTGGGGGAAATGACCAGAGCATTTCATTGTGAAGGTTAAAACAAAGCATATGGCCGAGATCCCAGTGATCTTGATCCCCTCCCTGATGAAATGAAAATGCAAAAGCATCCTACGTAATCAGCAGTCTAAGGTCCTGCTGAATCTGTGTTCCTTCCAAATAGAGAACTGAGCAAAAATGACTTCTAAGGGGGTGTAAAAGTGGGCATCAAGCCCATGTATGTTTTTATATATTCTATTCTGTAAAGAATGATTCCAGATTTCCACGCTGAACCAGACTACTCTTGCTTTTCACACAATAGTAACAAAGTGGGTTTCTCAGTCCATCACATCAAACGGGAGAGGACGCTGCTAAGATCAGGCTCATTGAGAGCCCGGAGAAAGCATCAGCCGGCCAGCAGAGGATGAGACAGAAGAATGAAGAACCAGATAGAAGACACAGTGAAGCACAGGTCACCCAAGCCTGGGCGAGACTATTTAACAGAGAGACAAGCATCCCCACAAGCAATAAAAGCCTTAAGGGCATCTGCAGCTGCCATCCAGGGGACAAACTGATGTCCCACTATCCGAAGACATCAATAGTGGCTGCATCAGTCATGTGCTCAGTGAACTGTTTTAAAAGGCAGCAAGGGATGCCATTTATTTTAGAAATTACTGGACAAGCCATTTGATCTCTCTGAGCCTTGGCTTTCTTAACTGTGAAGCAAGGATAACTCATCCTCACAGATAAAGAATAAGAAGGGGAAGGAAACAATAACACTTGCTAAATATTACTGTTATTGGAGGAAGTGTTTGTCTATTTAACAAAAGCCTCCTGCTTGGTGCTGGGCATCTGTGCTGGCCCTGGAGATGCCGAAGAAATGCTCGCATTGGAGGAAAGGACACCTAAGGGGATGTGCATTATAAATACGGCACAGACTCCCAGGCCCGCGTCTGCAGGATGGTCTTGTCACACAAGGTCATTAAACAAACACTTCTCAGAGCGGGGATGAGTAAGGGCCTGTCCTGCACCAGTGAGTTTGGCTGTCAATGAATTTAAGTGGGCAAAGCACTGGGCAACTTACAGGCTACAACTACATCAGTTGCTTCGAACCCCTGAGGCAGTCATGTGGGGAAACCGGGCTGGGGAAGGACGAACCCAGTCATAGTTGATTGGACAGCAAGTGGATGCCCAAATCAAGCTGAATCAATTCAATGCTTTCCCTTAGGAGACACAAAGACCTGATTGGGTCCACAACCAAGACCCCAAAGGTCATAGCCTTTGGGTGAGAGCCACCATTTTATTATGCTTTGGAGGCAGAGAGAAAGCTGATCTTGCAAAGAATGAAACTGGGGCGCTTGGGGGGCTCAGTCGGTTGAGTGTCCAACCTCGGCTCAGGTCATGGTCGTGGTTCAAGCCCCACATCAGGCTCTGTGCTGACAGCTCAGAGCCTGGAGCCTGCTTTAGATTCTGTGTCTCCTTCTCTCTCTGCCCCTACTCCACTTGTGCGTGTGCGTTTTCTCTCTCTCTCTCTCTCTCTCTCTCTCAAAAAGAAATAAACATAAAAAAAAAAAAAAACAAAGAATGAAACTGATGTGCTCCCTACGTCCCCATCCCTAACCTGGTCTCAAACTTCACAAGGCCAGGTTTCCCCTTCTGCCTTTGGAGTCAGTCCACGTGGCACACAGTTGAAAGTTTTCCCTGCAGCCTAACAAACCCAAGATGGAGCTACATCAAGGGCCCGATCCAATGACGAATAGTGAGGTTGTGTCGAGAAGGGGCAATGAAGAAGGGGACAGCCCTTGGCCGTCCCCACAAACCCTGCACATGGTCCATCTCAGAGCACGCTTGGTCTCCCAGCTCCTACTGAAACCCAAGGGTCAGGGGACAGAAACCAAAACAAGCAGCTAGGAGGACAGAAATAGATCCCCCAGCTGACGAACAGCCTCCGGGTATAGACCACTCAGTAGCTGCCGGCACATGTAAACACCTGTAACAGTCCGGGCCCTGGTGGAAGTCAGAGCCCCGAGGGGCTGAGCGTGGCATGTACGGCGGGGGTCTGCGCCCCACCCCCCACGCCCTCAAGCAGATGTTTGCACCCACTGGTATGGAACTTGCTTCTGGGCTCTTCCATCACCTGCCCTTTCATTGTTCTAGGCCTGACACAGAAAAGGTGATTCTTGTGAATTGGAAAAAGCTTCTCATCCTGCGTCTAAAGCAGACCTCTTTAACCCGAGGTCGTCCAGCCAGCGGTCCATGGATAGAATTCAGGGGCCGTGGATGGTGAGGATAACATGCATCTTCGTGTCTACTCTAATTGTAGTTTAGCATACACCTCCTCTAATTGTAGTTTAGCATACACCTCCATTTAAGCGTAGGCAACAAACCCCGATGTCATTGGTTGGCAGACATCTGAGGTATTCTTACGCGTATCGCTACCTTGAAATCCCATTGAGATCGGCCCCAATGCCACTATTGAACTTACTAAAGAAACATAAGCTGGTATGTCACACATTTGGATAATTACATGTGACTCTAATGTAATTGTGTATTTTACTTTACACATGTAAAACTCTTACTGCCTCACTGCCTGCCAGCATCCGAGGTCACCTGCCCTGGTCTACACTACAAGGCTCCCCGTGAAGGCACTCATCTTCCATCCTCCAGAGTCCACACTGGCCCCTTGGCTAGGAGTGCCTTCTCACCCTTCTGTGCTGTGCTAATGCCTCCTTGCCATTCCAAGTCAATTTCTGAAACTACAGTGTATCCGCTCACTGGACCATAATGCAGACTTCAAGTTTTCAGCGAATTACACACTCTAAGAAACTCTTCAAGTGAAGAAAATCCAATACAAATAAACAGCATGATAGCTATTTAAAAGGGGAGGTGGACAGGGTGACTCAGTCGGTTAAGTGTCCGACTTCATCTCAGGTGATGACCTCACAGTTCATGGGTTCGAGCCCCGCATTGGGCTCTGTGCTGACAGCTCAGAGCCTGGAGCCCACTTCCAATTCTGTGTCTCCCACTCTCTCTGCCCACCCCCCACCCCCACCCACCCTGCTCACTCGGTATCTCTCTCTCTCTTAAAAATAAATAAACATTAAAAATGTTTTTTAAGAGGAGATAGGCTTGAGCAAGGGGTGCATGTAGTGACTTCCTTCCAAAGAACAAGTGTGGGGCAGCAGAAGAAGTAATGGAGTGGTGGAGAACCCTGGCAAGCACAGCCTCAGCTAGGTGCTCAAGGTCAACTCCATCCAGCGTAACTCCCGTTGACCCATCATGCTGATAGCACGACACTTTGCTTCTGTGGTCTTCGTTCCAAAGACCCACCACCCCAGTTGAGCCATGAGAAAAGTGCCAGAGAAACCTTAACTGAGGAACGTTCTACAAAACGTAGCCTGACCAGTGCTTCTCAAAAAGGCCATCAAAAGCAGGGAAGGTCTGAGACACTGTTATAATCCAGGGGAAGTTCAGGAGACAAGAGGGCTACACGTAACGTGGCATCCTGGATGGTATCCTGGGACAGAAAGTATGGACATTCCAGTAGAGCGTGGAGCTCAGTTCATAGGAATGTACCAGCGTTGATTTCTTAGTTGTGATCAATTACAATAATGTACGATATACTAATCGGGGAAACCGGGTATATATTGGAACTCTGTGCTATTTTTGCAATTGTTCTGTAAACTTGCAACTAACCGTAAAAGACCTAAATAAAAATGGGAGGTTATACTAAAACCTGTTGTTTACCGTGTTTTTTTTTTAGTGCAGTATAAAAAAACATAGTCGTTGTCACTGGGTGTGAGAAAGGAGTGGTCTTATCACGTGCTTTCCTGTAATAAAAATAAAATGTAAAAAAAAAAAAAAAAGGATGTTTCTTTCTAAATATAGCTGGAAAAGCTTTAACCCTTTGTCACTGGGGTGCCCAAGCCATTGAGCCCCTGCAACGGGGCTGGTCTGCATCGACAGGTGCCATGGTGTGAAATACTCACTCGATTTCTTAGTGTAAAGAAGGTGAAATACCTTAATAGTTGTTATATTGATTCTATGTCAGAATCGTAATATTTTGGATATGCTGGGTTAAGGGAAATATACTATTAAAATTAATTTCACTTGTTTCTACCTTTTAGAATGTGGTTATTAGAACATTTAGGCTTAACATTGAAGGTTTTATCACATTCTTATGGGACAGCAATGCTCTAAGGCAAGTGTCAGGAAGCCCCAGGTAAAGAAGGACCCGCCCCCATACTGTGGGGCCACATGCACGATCTCCGAGGAAAAAGACACAAGCCGCTGCAAAGTTACAAATTTATTGGTCTGGAAATAAATACAAATATCTCATTAAGAAACTGCTCCGGAAAGCCTTGTACACAACGTTTTTCCAGTCTCGATTCAGCCATGCCTGTCCTGACCCGACCTTTCTGCACAGGTCAGGGGAAGCCTCCAAGTGGTAGGGGGAGTAAACTGAGTCACCGCCCCTCAAGCTACCTAGAAGCCTTGACTACTTCCTTCTACCAACTCTAGGGTCCCAGAAAGCACCAGGCCCCAGTGGCTGAGTCGCAATGATCTGTCCGCTCTGATCAAACTTCCTATAAGAAATGGTTAGCCAAAATGAAATCAAAAGGCAGTAGTATAGGAACTTGACCGCTACGCTGACGTTGCCCAGAAAGGTCAGTGGTGCCGCCCCGTTCAGCAAAAGGTTAGAGGGGCAGGGAAGGGGGGACGGCAGGAGAGGGAAGGAAATCCCGTGGAATATTCCAGAATCCTTACTTCGTCTCAGCCACCACTCCCGTGTGAATCCCCACCCCCTGCGAGAGGGAAGAACAGCTCTACTCGCAGACCCAGTGATGTTGCCAGGTCAGAAACGTTCAGCCGCCAAGTTCAGGTTCAACCCCCCGTTGTCAAATATTGGAAGCTGGATTTAACTCAATCACACAAGATTCCTGGGGACCAGGGTGGGATCGACTGAAATCACAACTGGGCTCGACCCCATTGCAACCGCAGAAATCCTTTACATCTAATAACCCAAATGCCCCCCCACCCCCACCCCAGTACCCCTGCGCCCCCTCACTGTGTGGAGGCATCACGTCCAGGTACAGCTGTTGGGACTGTTTCCTTCCATTTCAAAGAGAGCAAGTGCAAACCTAAATGGTCTTCCCCATGCACCCCATAATCACCATGAATTTGGGGTGAGAAGCTGGGCTATGGAGGAGGAATCAGACAGCAGAGCCAAAGGCTTGAATTCACGATACCAACGTTTGCCAAGACTGTATCTTTGGGAAAGCCCAGAGATTTTGCCGCCCGCTTACATCGTCCATTGGAAGGATGCCAGAAAAAAGCAGGCTCGTATGTTTCGTATGTTTCAGCATTAAAAAGCAGATATAGACACGCACTTGAGAAACCTATTTCTTCACGTATCACTACGTAGATTTGTTTTTCCAAGCATTCTAGCCACCACAGAAAGTCCACCTCTTTCCCACTTCCTGTTTTGCTGAGTTAGGAGAGGACACCACCACCCGCGGCTCTCCCCCTACCCAAATCAGAACGGGGTTTTGTTTCCAAAAACTGGGTCAGTTACTCCTTATGTGGACAGGAAACAGGAAGTAGAGGGGCTGGGCTTCCAACCTGTGCCGTTAGAACCAGCCTAGGCCTGGGTTTAGGAAGAGTTTAGGGCGGCGCGTCTTGTTTTTGGCAGTTTGATGTCTCTGAGGGAGAGTAAGAGGGTGGCCGCCGGGCCACCCGCCGATGAGCACAGGACACTGAGATGCTTCTTTTCCTTTGGTCCGCCCGTCCTGCCCTGCTGGGAGAGGCGCCCTCGACAAACCCGGTCTAACTTTGTCCCCCCAGAGCTCTCTTACACCATAAGCTTTGGGTTAATACGAGTTACGTGTGGTGTGGCAGGCGGGGCGGGAAGGGCTGGAGGAAGGGCAGCTGCGTGAGCCCAGAGTCCAGGGACGGCCATGGCGCGGGCCGCCTAGCAGGACACCTCCATGGACTTGGGCCCCGCGCTGTTGCCGGTGGCCCCGGAGTTGGGGGTGATGTCCAGGCGGGCGCCCTCGCTGGTGTGGGAGCGGCTGCGGGCGCCCTCGCTGGTGTGGGAACGGCTGCGGGCACCCTCCAGGGACGTGACGCTGGAGCCAGAGGCTGTGCGGGAGCGCATCAGGCGGGTCATGCTGGCCGAGGGCACTGGGGAGAGAGGGGAGCACCGGGTTAGGGATGGGAGAATGTCAGAGGCACCTGTGTGCGGGCAACGGTGCCTCCTGGTGCCTGATCTGCCCCTCCTTGCAACGATCCAGCCACCAGGCTCTCTGCCCTCCGTGTATCTGCTCACAGAGGTGGGCAGTGAGGCCCTGGTGGGGGTAAGGACTTGCGGCCGCATGGTGGTTTGAATCCAGAGGTGGCTCTGAATCCCAAATCTGCCAGCTTAATGGCTGTGTGACTTTGGAAGTGTCCATCTCTGAGCCCTCCATTCCCATCAGTGAAATGGGAATACCAGCCCCCTGGTATCAAAACCCATGTGTGTGCCTGTGCACCACAACCCCATACCGCCTACAGTCTCCGGAGTGGGGAAGATTGTCAAGGTGAGCTCGGCCACAGGTAGGGGAGCCAAGGCCACACAGCAAGTCTGCGGCCAGCCATCACTTGTCACCTCTTCCAGAGAAGGCTGTGAGCTCCCAGGATCTACCAATGGCAGCGCCCATTCTTCAGGACTGAAAGTGCCCTTGCACATAGCAGGTGGCTGAGAAAGTGAAATGAAGCAACAGGACTGAACCCTGTCCCTGTCCCTCCCCCTCCCCCAATTCACAGCCACCAGAATCTTAGGATGGAAGAGGAGTCCTTGCCAATATATTTAGTTGAGATCATACTGCATTAGGGAGGGCTCAAATGCAATGGCCAGTTCCTGGTAAGAGGAGACAGAACACCCCCTCAAAACACACACACACACACACACACACACACACACACACGCACACATGGAAGAAGGCCATGTGACCACAGAGCAGAGATGGGAGTAATGTGGCTACAAGCCAGTGCACACCAGAGACTTCCAGCTCCCACCAGAAGCTGAGATGAGGTAAGGAAAGAGCTTCCTAGAATCTCTAAGATGAGTACGACCCCCCATACCTCTTGATTTTGGACCTCTAGGTTTCTAGAACCCTAGCACAATAAAAGAATACATTTCTGCTTTTCCAAGCCATCCAGTGTGTGGAGAGCAGTCCGGGCAGCTGGAAGCTGGCGCACCACCCAAAGAAAGCGTCGCTGCGAAGTCCACACTGAACATCAGACACCACCATGTGAGGCGGCTCATAAATACGGATACGTGTAGGGGGCTTACATCATTCGTTCCATGGCTTTCTGTGACACATATCCCCGAAGAGAATTAACCCTTGCTGTATTGAATTCCCTTCTCAAAGAGCTAGTGTTTAAATCCAGAGAGAGTTGAGATCATTCTCACATCTGCCACTCACCTATTTCTCAGCCCCAAATCTGAGCGTTTTCCTGCCCTTGCAGGGCTCTGCTGACTACAGAATGGTGTCACCGAGGCAGAGAGCAAATCGTGCCTGGCCCCGCTTGAATAGGCACTCGAGCGGATGACTACTTGCTTTTTCTGTGGTTCATGCCTCTGGGACTAAATCTCTTCCTGCCGTCTTCCCTTCTAATCTGCCAGATGCTTCAGCTTTCTGGAATTAGAAGCTGGTGTGTGTGTTGGATGGAACAAAACCTGCCTTTCACTTCCTTTCTCCCCAGAATACACTTTCAAGGCAGAAATCCAAACCCAGGACAGGCCCAAGACGAACGAATCGTGACGCACGCCCTGCAAGGTAAATGAAGCCTGCCCGTCGGCGAATTCAGGCACTGTCTCTGCCTGCACACTCTCCCGTGGGGAAAGCAGATCAAAAGGCAGGAGATCCACAGGCAGAGGTTTTCCACTGGGATAGGGCACCTGGGGACAATGGACTCTGCCCAAAGTATATAAATCAGGCGCAATAGCTCTTGGCCTCTCTAGAAACTAAAACATGGCTGAGGCCAATCTTAAGACTGTGGTCAGTTTACCAAACACATCATTATTATTTTAAATGAACAAACAGTTTCAGTCCCAGAGGAAAAAAAAAAAAAGAAGAGATGAGACATTCAGACTTCCTAGTTAAGATGGGCACATAAATTATAATTATAGGCAGAAAGAGCCAAAAGAATCACCCATTGGCTCACACATCAATGGGCACCATCTGTGGCTGGTATCCAGTTGCTTAAACTTGGCATTTCCTGTCCTGGTCATGGGACTGCATGTATAAAAAAGGGCTATAGGTGTCTAACAAACTATAATCATCAAGTAAGAAACAGCAAGTTCTTGAATTATGCTTCCATTTATCTTTCAATTCCCTAATCTAATGAGCTGGCGAAGACGCACTGTATTGAGTATAAGCGACTTTATCACCTGCTTACACAGAGCTTTACAGTTGTCAAAGAACTTTCAGAGTTCCTCACTCTGCTTCTTGCTTCACCTCTCAAAGCCTAGTTCCATCATTTGTAAAATGAGAGAAGAATGTTCTCAAAGAATTGTTGCAATGATTAAATGAGAAAAAAGGAAGGATTTACTGATACTCTTTCATCATTACCATGACCATCATCATCACCATCTTCATCACCACCACCACCACCACCACCACCATCACGACAACTGGAAGTCTCTTAAGAAAGCTTGTAGTCAAAATGTCAAAGATTTTTATGGTTTCAATGTTGTCTTCTTGATGCTTGAAGAAATAATCCTCACCTAAATCTAAAGAAAATTCCCTCCCGTAAAACAACTCTTGTTCCACAGTGGAGGGAAAAGAAGCTGCTGTGGTATAAAGAGACACTAGGACCTCTACGCCGCCCTCCATCCTCCACATGCCTAAATATTTCCTCCCCTGACCTTCCTAGTTCGCAAAAAGGTGAAGGTGGCCAAGGTGATACAGAATACTCATCCAAACCCAGTTAGGGTCGTGATATTTTCAGTTCCCACATCTGCTCCCAACCCACTTGGAAACATCACACTTACTGTATCCCATGCCCTGCACGAAGTACTTGAAGGCCTCAGCAAGCTTGGCTGGCTGCAAGAGAAAGAGGGGAAAAGTGTGGTCAGTCGCCGAAGGTCCAGATCAAGAATGGCCACATTGAGCTGTGTCCATGGTCACCTTCATTAAAGAGCTTGACCCAAGAGAGAAGGCCACCACGTTGATAGAACAATATACAAAAGTAAAGGAAAGACTATTAGATATTATGGGGACCACAATTAGCTTTGGCGAGGGAGAAAATGTCAAATTCGTTTCATAGCTGGGGGGGTGGGGAGCGTGATTGGTCAAGTTACATGACCTCACCTGTGAAACAAGGACAGAGGGCCACACTTTCTTCTGAGTTTCTATAAAGAAGGCTACTCTGATAGGTGGACGCGTCTAACGCAGCATCCAGTTCCCCTGACAACTTTATGAGGTCGGTGCCATTTTCACACATAGGTCATTGCTGAACAGTCATGGAGGTAAATAATCCACCCAAGGTCCTACAGTTAGTTAGCTGCGGATCCTACAGATTAACCTAGGTCTTTCTAAACTCTGTGTTCTCCAGGCAGTTCATTCTCAGCCTCAAATACCAGCTGGATGGCTGGAAGGGTGGAAGGAAGAAAGGATGGTGAATAGATAAAAAGGAAGTAAGACTGATGGATAGAAGTAAGGAGGATAGACAGATGGATGAAAACAAAGGATGGACGGATGGAAGGAAAGAAAAAGATGGAAGAAGGAAGGATACATGGATGGATAGTTGGACCAACCAATTCACCAAATCAGTGGGGCTCCTGTGAGTGAAATGAGTTGGGAATGCTAAGAACACACCCAGTTCTACCGATTAAATTTAATTTAATGTGAACTGAGAGGTGAATGCTCTCACGTAAAGGCCATAGTCACAGTCAAATTAACCGCAACTCTCAAATGCAATGCCCTGGGCCTATTCTCCTCTTACTCTTTCTGCCCCGGTAAGAAGTCATCGGCAGAGGCAATGCTCCGGCCCCTATGCTACAAAAGAGCCACGTGACATTTAAAGGAGAGATGGGGCTCAAGACGTCCTCTGGGGTTTGTGTGATAATGGTAAGAAGGTGACATAAGGTACAAGCAGCGGCTGCGGGGAGCCAGGGACTTCCGTGCCAGCATGGCGGCAGAAACAACCTTCCGGCCTCTCTTTCCCCTCCCGGGACACTGCAATAAACACGTGCTCTTCTCACCTCTAAGGACCATTGTCCTTGCAGATGGAATGAAGGGTGGGAACGCCCTCCGTAAACCCGACCCGTAAGACCTTGGACTGGTCTCCTGGATGCCTGCATTGGTTCAGCTGTGGCCACACATTTAGAACGTGCTTTAATTACGGTTAGGGTTGGGTCTGTCCTCGTTTCAAATAGACAAAGGAAGAAGGGAAGGGGGGAGGGGAGACAGACAGGGAGGGGGGTGAGGTGCAAGGAAAGCCAGCCCCCTTTCTCCCTAGCCAGCCCTGGAGCTGTGCAGTCTCAGCAGGAATCTGGGGAGCGGGCTGGATGGATAAAGCTTCCACCACTAAAGTGCGGGTATTAACTCATTCTTCCGACTAAGCAGGGCTTTACTTGGAGCCCATCTGTTCCTTCTGGCGGCTGGGACACCCCAACCTTCTCTGGCTTCCCCCAGCTGTCAAACAGGCACAACACAACAGCAGATGAAACACTGAAAGGATTTTGTCCTTTTCTAGTGGCCGCAGAAGGGGGACACCACGGAGAGCCTCACAGAGCCACGAAAGGCCACTTGTGCCTCTATTTCTGTACAGAGTTCCAGAGGAAGGGGCTTGCAGTGACAGAAAATCTAGAGCAATGAGTTAAGATCCAGGATCCACCTGATGCAGAAATCTACTTCTCGGGGATCGCTTCTTCCGACCCCCAGCGAAATAGTCCGCTACCCCCAGAGAGAAGACTTTTCTGTGGGATAGCTCTGCCTACAGCCAGGGGAACCTCTCAGCCATCGCCCACTCACTGGGGGACCCGGAGCCAAGATTCTCCCTTTTGTATCAGACAATCCCTGAAACTGGCGGCGCCACCGGAAAGTAATCAAAGAACTGATCTCTATAGCACCGCAGGGAACAGTGAGGAACCGGAAATAACTTACAAATGTCCGGCAATAGGGCGTCAGGAGAATCAATGACAGTATATCTGTGCAATGGCATTTTTGTCCTGTCATTAAAAACAAATGACAGAGAGGGGTGCCTGGGCAGCTCAGCTGGTAAACATCAGACTCTTGATTTTGGCTCAGGTCACGATCTCACGGTTTGTGGGTTCGAGCCCCACGTTAGGTTCTGCATTGACAGCGCAGAGTCTCTTGGGATTCTCTCTCCCTCAATCACTGGCCCTCTCCCACTCAGGCGCTCACTCGCTCTCTCTCTCTCTCTCTCTCTCTCAAAATAAATAAATAAACTTAAAGAAAAATTACAGAACATTTTTTAACCAAAGGAAGAGGGCTCTGAGCTGTCAAGGTATGTGGACAGATGGAAAATATACATGTGATATGACCCTAATTTTGCTGAGAGAAAGGAAAAAATGTAGCAACTATAAAAGGAGACTAGGGGGATGCCTGGGTGGCTCAGTCAGTTAAGCGACTGACTTCAGCTCAGATCATGATCTCACAGTTCATGGGTTCAAGCCCCATGTCGGGCTCTGTGCTGACAGCTCAGAGCCTGGAGCCTGTTTTGGATTCTGTGTCTCCCTCTCTCTCTGCCCCTCCCCTGCTCACACTCTGTCTCTGTCTCAAAAATAAACATTAAAATAATTAATAAAAAATAAAAGGAGACTAGAAGTAAATACTTTAAAGTTTGTAACAACAATAATCTGACTATGGACGATGGACACGGTTTTGTAAATTTTTCTTTGATTCACCTTTACTTTCACATTTTTATTGATGGGCATGTATTACTATGTAGCTAGAAAATGACAAGTAATATATACCATGGATTAAAAAAAAAAAAAAAAAGCCTCCTAAAATATGCATTTCAGGTCCTGCCTGGTCCATCCCTCTGAGAGTCTAAGTTTTGTTTGTTTGGCCTCCCCAACCTGGTTCACTGTCCCCACAACAGGCTCGTGGATAAGCAGCCACTCATCAGGGACACAGGAGTCCCGGGCCTGCATCCAGGGTGGGGAGACCCACTGGGGGGAAGATTTAGGCTCTGATGCTCCGTGCCCTCCGCCTCGCCTCCCCCCAACACCCTGGCGGGTGAGAAACCCCCCAGAGGCACGCTCACTGCTGCAAGGGAGGCTCTCCAGGTTGCCCGGGAAGGGGGGGGGGGCGGGGGAGAGTACATACAGCTGGAGAAAGACCCAGAAGCGATCGCCGCTGGATTACAGAGCCCAGGGCCCCTCTCAGGGTGGCAGGAGGCCTCATTCCATCTCTTCCCCAGTTGGGTGCAAAAGACGACCAAAAATTCACACAATGTCTCATTTTAAGACAGAGTAAAAAACTATAATGATATAAAATCAAGGCTATAAATTAAAAAGTTCATTCACTTATTAGGTTGGGGTTTATTTATAGGGGAGGAGTTGGAGGGCCCAGTGATGGTGTGGCAAGCACACTGCACTGAATGATAGGTTTATGCATGCACGCGCGCGCACACACACGCACACACATGTTCACACCCACACATGCTTTGGTTTCGCCTCCTGTCTGCCCCCTCTGCCTGAGCCTTGAACTCTAGCAGAAGCCCATGGTCTTTGAGGTCGGGCCCATCTAGATTCTGGTCCACGGTTGCCAAGTTGTGTCTATGCGGCCAAACCCCTTCACGCCTGTGAGCCCCCGTGTTATCTAACCCCCAGGGACTCCTATTTTCCTGGCACGTGAGTCCTGTATAAACAGCAACGTGTCCACAGTGTGATGGGATGTCACAGTGAGGCGGGGGACGAGGGGGGACAGGTCACAGAGGCACCTGCCCTCTGCCTAGATGGCAGGTGGGACTCACCTGGGAGATCTGGGGGAGGCCGCCGCAATCTGCCATCTGGGAGAGAGGGAAGCGGGTTAGTGCTGGACACCCCAGCAGAGGGGCACCCCCAAGCGGGCGCCCCCCGCCGCTGCCCCTCCCCCTGAGCAGCGCCACGCTGGCTACAATCCATCTCGGCATTGACCCGTGCCTTCCTGAAAACCGATATGCTGGGAGAGCTCGAAGAACCAGCAAGGCTCTGGCCCGGGTCCGTCCAACCAGACGGCCGTCGCTGCGTGACGCCCTGTTTGCACATCTCTGTAAATATCCCCTCAGAAAGAAACCGCTCCCGACGGTCTCCTCGCTGGCCACACAGGGAAAGACTGGGGCTTCCCAAGTTCCTACTGAGTCATGAAACCTAGAGCCGCCACCTCTCAGTCAAGGCTGCTACAGGCACGTGTGGCTATCAGTCAGGCCCAGGGCTCGGGAGTTTCTGGGCATCAGGACCGGAGGCAGTGAGGACGGCTTGGAGACAGAGGTCTGAGAGGCGTACGTGACAGTGGCCGAGACGTGGCCATCCTCGGGGGCTAACCTCAGGACCACGCTCACCGGGGTACTCTGGGTAAGGGAATGCAGTGAAAAGAGGCCAGAATTTAACGCCAGGGCCCAGCCAGCCGGGCAAAGGGGCACAGTGGGTGCAGCCTGTCTGGAATCATGCTGAACCAGTTTGGATTCCCATCCACTATCGAATCGGCCGCTTTGACTCAGTCACCTGCCCTCTGCAGATGGAATGAGTTAAGATTGAGGCGGGCCCTAAATCCAACGACTCTGGTCCTTAGAACCAGGGGGAAGTTTAGACACAGAGACACCCAGAGGAGAGGGCTGGGTGGCATGGAGGCAGAGATGGGAGCGAGGTGGCTGCCAGCCAGGGACACCCTGACTTTGAACTTTTACAGCTTCCAGACGGTGAGAGAACAGACTCCCGTGCCTTTCAGCCCACCCAGCTTGTACTTGTTATGGAGACTAGGAGATCAACCCACCCTTCCGGAATGTTCCTTCCTCCTCTCCCTGTCAGAGGTGACTGTGGCCTGTCCATCTTTCTCCAGGGACAGCAGCCCAGATGTTGCTGGGGTCCAGACAAGCAGGTGCATGGGGATAATTTAGGCAAAGGGGCTCCCGCGTTAGCCCATGAGCGGCCCCCTCAGGCCCGAAGCCCAGTGTTTTCCAGTCCTGCAATTTCCTTGTGAGGGAATCTTAAAGAACCAGTTTGGGGACCAGGTCCGCCTCCTCAGGAAGCATCAGACGCTTCCTGGGCTGGACTGGACACAGACCTCCTGCCCGGCCTCAAGACCTGGTGAACTTGCTGGAGAGAATCCTGCCCTTCCATGGCCTGTGGGGGGGGGGGAGGCGGCAGGGGGGGTGTTTTCTCCTCCTCCACAGGCACAGCCCCCCTCGAGGAAGGCCCCAGCCCCGCCCTTGGCAGAGCCGGGGCCGTCCCTCATCAGAGCCACCACGGCCAGCAGCCCACAGACTCTCGGGGTCCCAGAGAGGGTCCCCTTCGTCTCCACAACCTCGGGCATCCAGCTAGTGCCAGGCAGAGAGACGTTTGTAGGGGACATAATTATTCCTACGGTTTCGGGCCACCAGCTTGGCCTCAATTAGGCACAGCTCAATTTTGCAGGCGACCGGGGGTTCCCAAGAAAGAACACGTACAAACTCCCGTCATGTCGTCTGTACCTTGAGGAGGGTCGTCTTTGTTGGGTCCAGTTTCGAGTTGCACTCCACCTGGACAGGGAAGGGGGAGGGGACTTGTTAATTTTCTATCTGGAGCCCAAGTCATAATCCTGCCCCGTCTGTGCCTCCCTGCCTCGGTCATCAGCACCCCCAATGTTCCCACTAGCGTGGGAGAAAGAACGTGGGCTCCGAGATTAAGCAACGTGGCCATAAACTCCAACCTCGCCATCACTGGCTGACCAACCTTGGGCAAGTTGCTTAATCTCTTTCCGCCTCTGTTTTCTCATCCATAAAATGAGGATGATGTCTTTTTCAAAGGGCTGTTACGAAGACTCGCTAAAATCTAGAAGGGGCTCCAGTACTAGCTGCTGACTGAACGGCATTGTGTCACCAGCTGCTGCCACAGATTCTCCAAGTTCAACATCTCTAGTCCTGGCAACTTTCTTCTACAAAACGGCACCCTAAGCTGGTTCCTCTCTTCAGTTTGCCAATGACCGTCTTAGCAGTGCATCCAAATTCGGGCAAAATTCCCACACGTAGCCTGTGATGTTCAAAGTGCCTACAGTAGAGTGATCACCTCCTTGGATGTGAAAAATGTATCTCTGCTGATGCATCCTATGATTATGCCCAGTGGGTCAGATCACAGGAGACTCACAGTCCATTAAAGGCCCCTCAGGTCTTTACCAGATGAACCTTTGCAAGCCCTGCTCGGTGGCCCACCGCACAAGGTGCGTGACCACCCTGGGACTCCGCTCACTAGCCCCGAGGTCTCCCAGTCCCCAGCCACAGGCATGTCGGAAAGGTAGAGTCTTTGCTTTGCCTCCACAACATCACAGGTGGGGATCAGGGGTGAGATGAGCCGAAAAGGCTGGTCTCCGCCCCCCTCCCCAGGTGCCTCTCCGCCCTGTCAGACAATCAGGCGCCAGCCAGGTCTGAAAACCGATTCCCAAAGGAGAGCATCTTGGCAGGAAGCCAAGTGGCAAAGACCCCCCCCCCCCCGATATACGCAAACCACTGGGAGGCAGACTGGCAGGTGACGGGGCCTGGGGAACGACAGAGGGCCACTACCGAGCAACAGGACTGGCAGCCACCCAGCAAGGAGCTGGGATCTGGGCCCTCTGTCCGAAGGCCGAGCAGATTGGGACTGTTGGATAAAGCACAGAAACAGTGGGACAATGTCTACGTACCACAGCATCCACAGCAGGCGAACTGTCCCCAACCACCAACAAAGCAGGGCACCTGGGGGCCGGGAGAGAAGAAGAGTCAACCCAAAATTCATTTAGAGATTCACACACTCCCAGGCCCGCCAGGCTGGGACCAGCGTTCTTAAAACATTTGTTTTGGTTTTGCTCTTTTCACTTCCTTCCCCTTCCATCCTCTGCTTCGCTTTTAGGATAAACTGGGTTGGTAGTCATTTACACCTTAGTATGAATTTCAGCCAGAGAATTTCTGTGCCCTGGTGTTTTTATTTTCAAGCATCCTCTCCTCAAAGAAGGATGAGTAGGACTTTGCGCCTTTGATCAGAGACAACGAGAACACACCCACAAAGGAAATGGCATGTGTCAAGTTCAGGTGTCAAATATTACAGTTCACTCAGGAAACTATAAAGAGACAGACATTGCTGGCGGAACGCAGTTAGCCATGTCCACAACTGTATTTTCCTCCTAGCCTTAGTGCGCACTTCAGGGTGGATTGTCCTCTGTCTTATTCATCTCCAGGCTCTGTGAAAGCAAAGCCTAACACGGTATTCGACACAGAGTAGGAGTTTAATAATAAATTCTATCCAAAGTGCGCTTCTCCTCTGAGATCCAAGGCTCTGACCCTGGTCCCAGGGACACCCCAGGACCCGAGCACCTGCACAAGGAGAAGGCAAGTGAAATGGGGTCGGGCCCGACTCCTGGGAAGAACGCACCCCGGGCTCGCCAATTACGATGTCCTAGCACAGAGCGGCACGGCCACCAAGCTGGGGAAAAAGCCCCGCGAGCGGCCGAGCCAGGCTACGCAGACGACGAAGAGGAGAAGATCTACTCACTGCAGGGTGACAGTGTGGGCTCCGGGCATGGGCCGCTCGATATCCAGGTCTCGCCGGCTGCGGACGAGGGCGCACAGGTACATGGTCACAGGGGCAGCGGCCCCGCCCCCCGGGGCAGCCCTTCCCACCTCGCCCATCCCAGGAGGTCTTCCCAGGGGCCATTCTGGCAAAACTATCCGTGTCCCAACCCATATGGCTCTCGGGGCATCATGGCCTCCTGGGGGCCACGTAATGGTTTTAGGGACAGTGGGACTCATGTATTTCCCAGGAAGCCCACTTCCTTGACCCCGATGTGGCTTTTTTTTTTTTTTTTTTTTAAATACAGGAGTACAAACCATATTCTCCACCACGGAGGGTCCAAACCCCCCGTACCTCTGGTTGGAGCACCTGAGTCCCTCTAGCCCCCAGCTCGGAGTCCTCTACACAGTAACCCAATCTCTTTAGATCTCAGATGTGATCCTGCACCCCCTCATTCCAAACCCTGCAACACTTTCCCACCGGACCGTGTCCCCACAGCCTGTCTCCTGGCCGCTCCCACCACCAGACAGCTGCCCGGAGCCAGACAGATTCAAACCACGCCCCTCCACTTCCTAGCTGGGTGACCTGGGGAAGGATGCTGAACCTCTCTGTGCCTGTGTTTCCTCAGTGGGAAATGAGGATGGGGCCAGTGTCATGAGGTTTTTAAGAGGATTCCCTTGATTGCCATGGGCACCGTGAGGGCGCGGCAGTGTGTGGGGGTTGGGAGGGGGGGTTTGTTCTGGTCTCTGTGTGTCCACCGCCCAGCTGACAGCCTGACCGCTCCGGGCCTCAGGACGCATCTGCTGAAGAAATGCGCTACTGAGTCCGCACTACCGCTCCCTCCCGCACCGAGAGGCGGGTAAGAGGAGACGGACCCTGACCTTTGGTACAGACACTAATGCCCTTCATGAAGGTAGTAACCATGATGAGACTCGGCCCACGTGGCCCCTTCACGCCCCCTTCCCGGGAACGTGGCTGGTGGCGCTGATTCGGCAGGCTGAGTTCCCTGCAGACCCCCTGGCTGACACCAGCGTCCCCGCGCTGTCCACTCCCCTCGCCGAGGTCCAGACCAGCAGCTAGTTACGGCCCCTCGCCAGAGGCCGGAGGAATGTGCCCTTTATTGGGATGACTCACCTCGGGACAGCCTTCCTGGACTCCTCCCTTCCCTTCCCTTCCCTTCCTCCCCCGCGCTATGCGGCTCGCTCGCTCGCTCTCTCACACCTGGCGTTTTGCATGGTCAGCCTGGGCACAGACACTAACTCCAAACCCTTCCAGGGCGTGACCGTGTCGCCCTCCCTCATGCTCGCGCCCCGGGAGCCTGGAGCCGTAGCTCAGCGCCTTGCAAAGCACTCAAAACCTCCGACGTCCCTTACTCCAGCCGCAGCCCTGTCCTAGTAATCTGTTTGCTCAGATGCAGGGGCCGCACCTCCCACTAACCCTACAACCCCCTGTGCCTGACCCCCACCCGGCTCCAGACCGACAAGAGGAGCTGGGCCGACGGCCGCGGTGTGGCCGAGCCGCGCGCCGGTACCTGTTGTAGGCGTTGATGAACAGGTGCAGGTTGCCAGGGTTCATGTCGTTCACGATGTGCTGGCGGTAGGTGTGGACCACCTCCACGTTATTCTGCATTTCCTCCTGCGTGTAGAGGGGGGACCGCGCCCTGCATCAGGACCCTGGCCCTGGGCCGGCCCCTGCTAACTCCATTCCTCAGGTTATACAGGACAGGGATAATACCGCCTAATCCACCTGACTGCCGGGAGCCTGAGGACCCCTTCCTGAAAGCAGAAGTCACCACCCAGAGGCACTATCCGATTTTGAGTTTCAGCAGATAGCAGGAAGGAGTGTAAACCCACCAGGGCCAAGCAGGCCGGCCTTCTGGGCTCCTGACTTCGGGAGTTTTTATTTGAAGCCGGTCCTCCTGGATCTGGAGCTTGACTTCATCACTGTCTTTTTTTTGGGGAGCGGGGGGTTAGAGAGCAAGTGTCTTCACCTTTCTGAGCCTTAGCTTCCTCAATAATAAAGGCGGGGGTGGGTAGGGGCACCTGGGTGGCTCAGTCCATTGAGCATCTGACTTTGGCTCAGGTCATGATTTCGTTGTTCACGAGTTCAAGCCCCATGTCGGGCTCTGTGCTGACAGCTCGGAGCCTGGAGCTGCTTCTGATTCTGTCTCCCTCTCTCTCTGCCCCTCCCCCACCCACCCTCTGTCTCTCTCTCTCTCTCTCTCTCAAAATTAAACACTAAAAATTTTTTTTAACAAAATAAAATAAAGGGAGTGTATACGTGTGTGTGTGTGTGTTACCTACTTCATCAGGTTACGGGATTTATTTATTTTTTTTTATATTTTTTATTTATTTCTAGGAGAGAGAGAGAGACAGCGTGAGCAGGGGAAGGTCAGAGAGAGAGGGAGACACAGACTCTGAAATAGGCTCCAGGCTCTGGGCTGGCAGTCAGCACAGAGCCCGACGCGGGGCTCGAACCCATGAACCGCGAGATCATGACCCAAGCGAAAGTCAGACGCTCAACTGACTAAGCCACCCAGGCGCCCCAGGTTACGGGATTTAACAGAGGTTCTGCACACAAAAGCCCTTTGTAAGTAATAAAACTGATGCACCTGTTAGCAATTAATGTTTGTAAAGGGGAGTTGGGAGGTTGTTGGTGCTGGAAAACAAAACCAACCCACGCGACTCCCAGGAAGTTGCCGGAAAGAAGGGCCATCTCAGTCCCCGAGGGGGCCAACCGGAATCTTGCGGAAGCCTCAGCCTTTGCTCTCCCCGGTTCCTTCCTGAATGTGATTTGGGACAAGCTAACAAGTGACGCGCTTGCTCTGTTTCTCATCTGTAGGTCAGCGGAAGCTGCGCGGCTGACGAAGCGGCCTGATGTGATCAGTGGCGACCGGAGCAGGACAAGGAGGGGGCAGGGGGCCCGTGTCAGGCCCGAGCTGTTGTGCAAACAGTCCCTGCTCACTGAAGCGGCCACGAGGCCAACGGGCTACGGAAAGGAAAATCAGAAAAAGTAGTCTGAAGACTGAACTGTGCTGGGGACCCCATCACAGCAGGCTGGGGGCATCGACGGGTACCTGGGGCCAGATTCCCCCTCTGTACCTGACACCTTCTCCTGCAAGGAAATACAGACACCGGCTCTGTGTCCACATTCCTATCCGGGTCAGATTCTACACTCGGGGCGAAGGAGACGGACCGCAAACTGAATGCAGCAGAGAAGAGGGAAGAAGGCCACAGGGGGCAGGGTGGCCTCGCAGGCTGTGTCCCCGTCAACCCCCCGGGGAAGGTGCAGGCTACCTTCTTCAGTAAAAAGGTCTGTAGAAATCATTAACTGAAGGACCCTCAGATGAGATCATTCTCGATTAGCCCAGTAGGTCCTAAATCGAATGACAAGGGTCCTTCTAAGAGAAAGGCAGAAGGAAGTCGGAAACAGACACGGAGAGGTCATCGAAGATGGAAGCAGAGCCTGGAGGGGTTCGGAAGCTACCAGAAGCTGGAATAAGCACGGATGGATTCTCCCTCTAGGCCCACCAGAGGGAGGGTGGCCCGGCGACTCTCCATCTCAGAGGGCTGCTTCCAGAACTGCGACACGGTTAAGCTTCTGTTGTTTCAAGCCACTCGGTTACAGGAGGCCCAGGACACTAACGTGAGGACAGAACCCAGTGGATGCACCTGGCCGACCTCAAGCGGAGGCGTCTGGTCACATATCAGACGGCCACACTCCCACTTGGGAACAGACGGTGCTCAGTGGGCCACACGGTGACCAGGAAACCGATGGGCCTCAGTGTCTGTGCCTGGGTCAGAACCCCTGCACGTCCTCTCCCGGGGCTGACGGCCGGAGTCAGGGGCCGTGCTGGCTGGCCAGACAGGGCCGGGGGCCAGGCTGCGGTGACCGCACAACAGCCCATCAGCAGAAGCACAGAAAGCCAGGGCCGTGCTCCAGATGTAGGAGGGAGATACACGGGTTCTGACCCCAGCTCCACCTCTCCCTGGCTGTGCAACCTCACACGAGGCAATCAACCTCTCTGGTCTCAGTTTCCATCCATAAAGTGGGAATACAATCAGTACTCTTCACAGGGCCCATCGAGCTCTCGAGTGGACTCCGTGGGTCAATACTTGTGACGTCCTTGGGGCCAAGCAGGGCACACAGCAGACCCCCTGGATGTGTTTGTTACAGGTCTGATCTGTAACAGCCCGGAACTGGAAACGACCCAAATGCCCAGCAACAGGTGAACCAAAGGGCAAACCCCAGGACATCCAGACAGAGAACAGAAGCCAGCACGAAAAAGGAGTGAACTACTGACAAACCCAACAGAGATGGGTCTCAAAGTAACTGCGCAGGGAGAGAGAAGCCACAGTTGTTTTTCGTGTTTTTGCTTTTTGTGTTTAAGCAGGACTACATACTGTGTGATGCCACTTGTACAAAAATCTGGGAAACACGAACTCATCTCTAGTGACGGGCAGATCAGAGGCTGTTTGGCGAGTGCGGGGGAGGGGGGATTAGCCAAGGGCACGAGGGGACATCACCTCAGTCGGACCCCTGATCTCAGCTCAGGTCATGATCTCACAGTTCGTGAGTCTGAGCCCCGCATCGGGCTCTGCGCTGACAGCACGAGCCTGCTTAGGATTCTCTCTCTCCCCCTCCCCTGCTCACCCACTCTCTCTCTCAAGCAAAATAAAAATAAACTTAAAAAAAAAGGAGAGTAAGCGATGACCTGACCAAATCGACACCATCAGGTGTGTGTGTGGAAGGCATCAGCAGGAGCCGCCTCCCCCCCCCCCACTGGCTTCTGTCTTGCTGTCTCTGTGCCCGACGCACGGGTGGCACACAATCACCCAGCGTGAGTGACAGAACGCCAGGCCACGTTACTCACCTTCCCGAAGAGGTGAGACACCACCATGTCTGGAAGGGCCTGGGTCCATCCGGAGATCTGGGGAGAAAGCAGGCATTTGCGGTAGTGAGACGAGGTCAGCAGAGCCTCCCTGCCCGCAAGGGTGTGCTGGGCTCGCCGGCCCTCAGGCCCAGGGCGGCCCCCTTAAGGGAATTGGGTCCAGGCCCAGGTGTGGCCTGGACCTGGGGGCTCCGGAAGGCGGGGCCTGGGTCTCTGTGAATCGCTTATTCTCAGAGCCCCGTGCACAGGGGATGGAGGGAGGGCTAAGTCTTCACAATGACGGCCTTTCTCCATTTCTTCAAAACGCACACTGATCTCTGCCAGTCTAAACCCCAGGACCTGCTAACCTTGAACCAGCCTTCCTGTATCATCGTTGACATTTTTCCCCTCAAGCCAGCACCCTCTCTTTGAATATCCTGAGGTTACTAAAGACACTGTCTCCTCTCTACCGCTCCCTAACAAAATGCTAGGTGTACAGTAGGAGCTCCATAAGTGATAGGCATCCAGCAGGGGCTTCATAAATGCTAAGGCATGCAGCAGGAGCTCCATAAATGTGTGCTGAGCAACTTCAGTGTCGGGCAGGGACTGGCAGGATGGAGAAGCTGTGGACGTGAGGCTTCTCTAGACTGCAGGTTTTGCTGTGCCCCAGCCGTGTGGTCCTGGGCAGGTAGCAGAGCCTCTGAACCCCGGGCCTCTCATCTGTAAGCGGACATGCCGGGGGCTTCAAAGTCACAGGGCCAAGATGAGGCTAACATGAGGCCACCGCACATGTCACAGGATCTGACGCCAGAGCCTGACCCACAGTGGGCTCCTGATATAGGTCTTTTTTCTGTCGTGGTTGGAGAGGAAGGATATGGTTCAGATATTAAAGCCAGACGTTCCTCAGGCTCCACATTAGCCAACGGTCAATGTCCCCAGCCCTGCGCGTCTGGCTCGGAGCAGTTACCGAGGAGCCAAACTGGCTGCCTGGACCATCACTTCCTTTCCTGGAAAATAAAATAAAAAACAGGGAGTGTGCTCCGTCCCGAGTATCACGCAGGCGGGAGGGACGGGCTGCTGCGTTCTGGCAGAACGTTCCAGGAAGAAAGGCAATAATAGAGGCCCAAGGCAGGGGGTGGGGGTGGGGGGGTGGGCACAGCCCCTTCAAACCTCTGTCCTCGACAGCCACCCAGAATGTGGCAAAAACACACTTTGGAAATGAGAAGCCAGGATCACCCCGGCTCGAAAGGCTTTGTCCTGCTCCAGTTAAGACAATGTCCCCCTCTCCTTGGCAAATCCTGGCCCTTCATGAGAAAACACAATAACCGTTTTTCAAAGATAAACAAGGAGCCCCAGGACACCGGCCAGGGCAGAACTTCCTCGGACGGCTGCGTCCATCTCCCTCTGCCAGCAGGCCTGTGTCCTGCCCCCTCGGTATCCCCAGACCTGCAGTGTTGGGGTCCAGGGGCTGTTCAAACACCTGCTGGGTGACGCCGGGGAGGCAGGAGGTGAGACCCAAGGACCGCGGAGTCCAAGGACCCCCATTCCACCCCAGTTCTCCCACTGCCTAGCTTTGCGGGCCCCTGGGCAGCTTCCGTAACCACTCTGGGCCTCAGTTTCCTCTTCTGTAACATGTTACGACAACCCCGGCCTCCCGGAATCACGGTGGGGATCATATGCGCTCACGCACGTGCAGCGGCAGAGAGTACGAACAGCGCCCGGCAACCACTCAGCACACAGGCTAATTCTTGCTGTTCTCAAACGAAGCGCCAGAGCTGGTCCTAAATACACTCTCCTGTTTCATCGACAGTAGTTGGGCTCCTGAGATCAGAGGCCTTGGCCTTGTTCATCTTTTGGTTTCCAGTATCTTGAGCAAAGCCCAGGACATGTTAGGTCCTCAGGATATGCTTATCAAAGCTGCCTCGAATGCTAGCGTCCCCGCGGTATGGCTGCTTTAGACCACAGCGTCCTACCCAAATCTTCTGAGTGGCAAATAGCTCAGGTCATGTTTGCTATTCCAAGCAAAGCAAAGGGGAGGGGCGGGGAGCACAGGGGAGGGGTGGGGAGCACAGGCCAGGAGAGGCCTCGGCCGGCACACCTGCTCCCCCGGCCTGACCCTGGCCCCCAGCCTCACCTTGGAGGCGGCCCAGTCCATCCAGCCTTCCGCACAAGGGTTCACGTTGATGAGGACGAGGCCCTCCACCATCTCCGGGTTGTTCAGCTGTAATTCAAGACACAAAGTGAGTGCCAGCCCAGAAATCTCAGCTGCTGTGAACTTCTGACAGTCAAACCAAAGACTAAGGAAATACCAGAAAAGGGCCAGAGGCGGCCGCTGCTCTCAAGGGACTTCAAATCCCACCCTCCACCTCCCCACCTTGCAAACCTGAGGGCCCAGCTCAGCAGACACAGGACAGAGCCCCTGAAAGAGTGGAGGGAGGAAGCAGGCAGTATAAGCGTCTGTGCGAGGCAGAGCTGCCCTGGGCAAGTCACTTCTCCCGGCACCTCGTCTTCCCCAGCCATCATGTGGGTACAGCAGACCTCCAACGTCCCAGTGAGGTGGGCATGCAACTGCTCTTTTTTGTTTTTTTAAAAATTTTTTTAGGGTTTATTTATTTTTGAGAGACAGACAGACAGAGACACATAGCATGAGCTGGGAAGGAGCAGAGAGAAGACACAGCATCTGAAGCAGGCCCCAGGCTCTGAGCTGTCAGCACAGAGCCCGACGCGGGGCTCAAACCCACGACCGTGAGATGATGACCTAAGCTGAAGTGAGACACTTAACCGACTGAGCCACCCAGGCGCCCCTTAAAATGCCATGTTTTCAAAATGCGGAAGAACTCACAGCAAATCGGGTGAGGATGTAGGCACCTGCTCCAGTCCCCATGCCGATAATGCTTTTCAGCCTGGAAGCAGAAATAAAACTTCATGTCGCAGGAGGAATGAGCGATGGGAGCCCTAATGACCCTCTTAAAGGCTCCCCTGCTCCTTGTCCCTAAGGAACCCCACACCTCCCCCAGCATCTGTCCCGGGGACACCACCAGCGTGGCTGGAGAGCTGGACAGGGTGGGGACACGCTGCTGTGACGTGCCTGGGGGACCCGAAACACATCACGCATCACGGCTCGACCGAAGGCCATGACCTTGGAGACACTGGCCCCTCCTGCTCACTGCAGCCCATGCACTGAGAGACCATCTGACATTTACAGGACAGCCCATGGGGGCACTGCTTTCTTCCCGCTCTGAAGCCCCATTTCAGATTCTAAAACTTGGAATGGAAATAAGCCGGGCAAGAACTCGGGAGGTATTAGCTTCACACAAAAGACTCTACTGACAAGGAAATGAGCACTGGAGAAATAGGGCCTGGAGGGAGAAACTGAAGGCTCAGGTAACCCTGTTCCAGAAGATTTCACTGGTCGGAGAAAGCAGTGAAAGAGGAAGGGGCCCGGAAAGGACAGGCGGGGTGGCCGTCTTCAGGTGATGTGTTGGCTCAAGGAGAAAAGCCCAGCCAACCAGAGGGAGAAGTATGAGGCCTCATACTTCCTGGCCTTTAAACCTCCATCTCAGGGGACAGGCCAGGTCAAGGCCAGGGGACAGGCAGAAGCTAGAAGGCAGGCTGGTGGGGGAGCAGATCCCTCAACTTACCCAAACTGGTGGAGGACCCCGGGGAGCATTTCAGCCAGCTGGTCCATGGAGGGGTACATGTACCTTTGGGGGAAGCCGTACAGAGGCCATTAGCCAGAGCCGGACCCCGAGGGGGAAACGAATCACTCAAACAGGGACACACTTCAAGGGCAGGACCCACGCACGCCTTTGCCAGTGTGCCCGGCGCCCCTGCCCGGCCCCCCGCAGCCCCCCTCCCAGCACCGAGCAGTGTGCACACACCCGCTGCACTGCGCAGGGCCACGCCCCATCCTAAACCGACCCTTGATCCACAGCTTCCTTACTCCACACCACGCATTTGAGGAACATTAGAAGCTCATTCAACTCTTCACAACAGCAGCTCTGTGAGGTCGCTACGGTTTGCCCAGTGCACAGATCACAAGCATCGCTGCAGCCGGGATGAGGGACCTGGCTTCCCGGCCAGGCGGGCACTTGGCTCTGCCTCCCACGTGGGCTCTGGGGTTCTAAGACTCCCGTTCTCACTCACCTCCCAAAAGGAGGCCTCCCGGCAGCTCGCTCATAGAACATTCTGGCCACAGGGAAGTCGATCCCCGCTCACCCCTGTCCTCCAGAGATGCCCCACAAGGAGCTTGGAGAGACTACGGAGAAGTGGGCCACCCTGATGAGCTGCACTACGGAGAAGTGGGCCACCCCGATGAGCTGCACCCCGGGGGGCTGGGGAAATGGATTGGCCGGGAAGGTTTTCAGGCACTGGGAGGCTTCAGTTCACCTCTTCTGGAACCACAGCTCCTGTTAGCAGAGGGCCGGGGGGCTCAGGATCACGACAGCAGGTAAGGAGAAGGCGGGAGTGGGGAGGCTGGACCCACGCTGGGCACTACGGCGTCTGTGGGCTGCCCTGAGCCTGCGCATTAAGGCGGGGGCTTCCCCCCGCGGAATGCAGGGGACAGCAGGGCCCACAAGCCGTTTCCTGTTCCCACTGTGCGCACCTCTCCAGCGGGTATACCAGTTGCCAAACACTGGCACTATAAGGAGCCGCTTCCCAGACTGGCCCTTCCTCTCGTCCAAGGATGGTCCCTCTCTTCCTGGCCGTGCACCTGCTGCTCTCTCTGCTTCTTCACAAGCAAGTGTGCGCTCACCTCCCTGGCATCTCCAGAAAGGAGGCCAGAGACCTCTGCCCCGCCAGGCACCAACAACCTCAGCCAGAGCCCTTGCACAGTCTCTCTCCCTTTCCCATCTTGCCCGGAAGAACTGTCCCTTTCCCCGGGGCGCCGGCTGCTGTCAGAGCAGACGCACATGACACCCCGCGCTAGGAGACCCCCGGCTCCAGGACGCAGGCAGAAGCCAGGGCCCGTTCAGGTGGGGTTCCCACCGGCCACACACCGAAATCACCTGCTACCTTCGGGGGGTGGGGAGCGAGCAAATACCCTGCAACTTGGCCTCCAGGTCAACTTCATGAAAATTCCAGGGGGTGAGGCCCCCATCTTAGAATATTTTTTAAATCTCCCCGTGGGGAGCTAAGAGCCACCGGGTTACCTCAAGTCTTTCAAGCCGTTGCTCTGAATAAAAATAGATTTCCTGACAGACCTCTCGTTCCATCTGCTAGTTAACAGGTGACTCTGTCCTGCTGTATTAGGAAGCCTTTAATTTTTGGTCCTGACCCCATACGGCTGGGTGTATTTTCCATACTCTGATGAAGGTTGACTATTGAGGATAATTCTGAACGCTAATAAATAAAAAAAGGAAGTCCTTTTGTGAAGGGCAGGAAGGTCCCCTCTGGGAGACCTGAAACCCAAGAACCCGCTCCCATCCTGGTCTAAGGACAGCATTGCACGGAGGTGCCTCCGAGGGGTCTGCCTCCTGCTGGTGACACTGGCTGTCTGTGTGCACGCGCCAGCCTGTCCTCCAGGAAGCCATGCTGGCTGCAGGGTGGGGAGAGCAAGCTGTGTACACACCGCGAACAAGGGAACCTGACGCGCTAATGAGAATACGATCCGTGCAGTCAGCAGGCTCTCCGACGCCCCCACTTGAACTCGCTTGTGACCTTGAGCAACGTCCTTAGCCCTTCCACTCTTCAGTTTCTTCACCCAGGAAATGGAGCTAATGACACCAGCCCCGTAGCCGTTAAGGACTAAGCGCCAGTGACGTGCGCAAATAAAAATTAAGCCAGGACCGCAGGAAGTACTTCATCGGTATTATTTCCTATCATACCCTCTCTTTTTCTTCCAACCTTTCTAGAACTCTCTCCTAACTATTTTTTTCTTGTCACGGTCCTCTCCCACTCAGTCCTGCCCAGGTCACTTATGCACACACATATTAAAAAACTAGCTACCCAGGTGGGCGAAAGCGCAGGGGCGGGTGGTGGTGGGGAATGAGGAGTTAGTGTTTACCAGGGACAGAATCTCATTTTGGGAGGGTGACAAGTCCTGGAGATGGCGGTGGGGAGGAATGCACACCAGTGTGAATGCCCAGTGCACTTAATGTTACTGAACAGCACACTCAAAATTGGTTAAATGGAAAATTTTAGGTTATATATATATATATATATATACACACACACACATATACATACATTTTTCCCTCCCTGCAATAACACAAATGGAAAACCCAGTCTAACGCCTGCCCCGCTCAGCCTGCTCGGCTTTCCTCTCCCTGTCCTGGGGTGCAAGGGTCCCGGGCTTACCCCACAGGGAAGGAGGCAGCGCCATCTTGCTGGCCAGGGGCGTCCACGTGGCACACGGCAAAGTGCTGTGTGATCTCCTGCATGTCCTCGTAGTTAAAGAGGGGATTGTAGCATGTTTTGTCTGAAGAGCAGGCAGGGGAGAGAGAAGAGGAAGAAGGAAGGAGAGAATAAATTAGGGTGCTCAGTGAGGCGTTTTGTTGGCTTCACCCCAACATACAAAAGGGGAATGAACATATGAGAATGCTGACCTCCTTTCCCGTCCCTCTGGTGATAAAAGGCAAGTGGGCGCAGGGGTGGAAATGGTCAGTAAACTTTGCTGGATGTGCTGGCGGCTGAAGCTTAAGCCTCCAGCTGGTGCTGGGGGGGAGACTCCCATCCGAGCTCCTGCATCTCCCCTACCAGCTGTGGCTGTGATGGCCCCAGTGTGAGGAGGGGCTGCCGCACTGATATTCTTTCTGTCTGGGTCTCCTAAAGCCTCACATTGGAAATAATGGCCAGGCACACAATTCTCAAACGAGGAGGAGCTTAGGAGCTAAAGCATAGGCACCCTCACTTCTTAGGTGGCCTTGGATGAGTCTCCCAATTGCTGAGGGCCTGAGGCAAAGATGGCCACCTGGTCACCAAACCATCCCCATCTTCTTCCTGGGCACAAAGCAGGACTACATTTCCCAGCCTCCCTTGCAAGGAGAGGCAGCCAAGTGACCAGGTTCTGGCCAATAGCACACAGTGCTCAATGTTTCTTGTTACACCTGCTGCCCAGCCTGTAGGTTTCTCTCTCTGCTGTCATCTGCCAGATGCAGAAGCCACTAAGACCCCAGGGGATGGGGTGCCATGCTGGTAGGAGCCTGGGTCCTAGAACCCCCATGCAAAAGATGTCCAATAGAATGCCCAGAGTTATTACATGAGTGAGAAATAGATATATAATGTGTACAGCCACAGAGGTCTCAGGGTCTTTTGTTTCCCCAGGGGGCTTACTAATGACAGCGAGCATCTATAACGGGGACATAACACCACCACAGCTGTCCAGCCAGCAGCACTCAGGTTTATGGAGATGCCTGGCCCTAAGGGCTGTAAACGCCTCTGAATCACCCCAGAGAAATTCACTTCTATTCTGTGTGATTTTAACATTCAGTAAAGGCAAAGATCCTATGCCTTTACTGTCTGTGAAAAACAGAGGAACCACATAGGCTGACGCTTCCTGGGAACCTCAAGAATGCAGTGTAAACATTCATGGCAGCTGTATTCAGAATGGTCAAAAAGGCAAAAACCAGCCAAATGTTCATCAGCTGAAGACTGGATAAACAAAGTATGGTACATCTCCTCAATGGAACATCTTTCAGCAACAAAAAAGGAAGTGCTGATACAACACGGATGAACTTTGAGACTGTAAGGAAAGAAGCCAGTCACAAAAGGCCATATACTGCATGATTCCATTTACAGAAAAGGTCCCAAATCCACAGAAAGTGGACTAGGGCCTGCCAGAGGCTGGGGAGCAAAGCAGACTGGGGCAGGACAGAGTAAGGGTACAGATTTTTCAGAGCGATAAAAATGTGCTTAAACGGAATATGTTGACGGTTGGCACAACTCGGTGAAAAATACTAACAACCACCGTACACATTAATCAGAAGATGTCACTTTCACATGCGGAGAGTGGAGAGCCGGGTTCCCAGAGCACCCAGGTGCACAGACAAGTCTGCGTCCCACATGGTACGTTCTAGGCTCTTCCAGTCAGTGGCAAGGTCCTTCCTACAACAGCCCCAGGAAGTGCCAGCAAGAGAACAGCCGGGCGCCCCGCCACCAGCCCTTCCCAGCTGTCCTATTCGTCCATCAGAAACGGAGATTCCCGGGAACTTACGGTTCATGCCGATGTCGTGGTAGGTGAGGATGACGGGCCGGTTCCCCTTGGGGGTCCCGCACAGCGTGACGTGAATGGAGCCATGCACGGTCTCGATGTCCTGCTCCTGAGGAAACACAGCAGACTGAGGGGCCTGTGGCGTGGGACTTGCAGCCTCAGTGTGGCCATGACTGTGGCCCGCAAGCACCCCGCGTATTTCCAACTGTGTTTTGAGGAAGCTCCCGAGCACGATTCTCATTTGGTCAGGAGGGCCCTGGCCTTCAGGCAGCAGGTTTCTCTGGCCAGAGAAACCACTCTAAGAACCAGGGAGGGAAGGAGAACTCAGTCAGGAGGCAGAAGAGAGTCCTGGCTCAGACCATGCCTTTAACTGCACAAAACTTGGGGAAGACCCCAGCCCCAGAAGCCCTCTCTGCACAAGACCTTGTTTTCTCCACCTGGGTCCTAGGTTACCTGCTCCCAAGTCTCACCTGTCCCACAGGGTTATTACAATGGTGACGAGCATCTGACAGCTTGGGGCTGCCCCAAGTTCAATCCCTACTTCCAAGAACAGCATCCAATTTCCTTTGGGCACCCACCCCACTCTCACCATCCATCCTAAAATGTCTGTTGACAAGGACTGCCGGCGCATGCTTCACGGGCCAAGGTCAATTCATGCATTCCATACTCCAGCTACAGGACTGGTTCACAGAAGGGCAGAAGAGCCGAGTCAGGTCAACCAGAGCCAACCACAGCTACTGGGGAAGTGGATTAGACTTGACCCAGCAACGGTGGGAAGGTTGGATCTGCAGCAGCCATGTTGTTACCATGAGGCAAGGGCCTGTCTGAACACACAGCCAGCCCAGAGATGGAAAAGACAGAAAGGAGGCCCTGTGGATGGCATCTGCCATCTAGGATTTTCAGACCATGAGCCAACAACTTCCAAGCCCCCTTAAGGCATTTCGAGTTGATGAAAAGAATCCTAAATGATGCCATATCCATCTCTCTCCTGTCCTTCCTTCTTGGAGGGCCGGGGTCCCTCCTCCCTTGGTCAAGGCCAAGGATGTGTCCTCAGGCTGGCTCACTCAGCCAGTCAGCCCCACATTTCTCAGGACTATATTGTGATTTTTTTTTTAAAGATCTGAAGACAGGTTCACCTTTCTACTATCCTTATTTTAAAAAAAAAATCACCTGGCCTTGATTCTAAGCCCATAAATTCACCTGCCATTTTTTTAACTAAACTTCTCAAAAGGGTGGTGGTCATGAATTTTCTCAATCCATCACTTCCATTCACCTTCAGCCCACCCCCGCCTCGGGCTCCCACCTTCCTCAAAGAAGCTCCAAGGACCTGTCACTCACAGCGCGTGAGCACTCTTCATGTCTGAGTGCGGGTCCTCGCCTTTCAAGTGCTCTCTGCCGGGGTCCTCACACCCACACTCCTGGCTCTCCTCCTACCTGGCGTGGGCGTGGGTGAGGCCACCAGCAAGCTAGGGACAGGGCGCTGAGAGTTTCCGGGTGCTGGGGGCAGCACAGAGCCGTTTTCCTCCACGCCCTGAGTCCCCACAAGTCCCCTGTAAGGGTGGTGCATCCCTGAGCCCTCAGACGCTGGCACCCTGGCTCAGGGATGCCAAGTCGGCTGCCCGGAGTCACACTCAGGACCCACCCACCCCGTCGGCCACAGTGTCCCCCACACGCCTCTCACTCCCTTACAGTCTGAGAAGCTCGAGAACTCGAATCACGTCCACTCCTTAAGAGGCTGCGTTAGGTAGGCACTGGACGTTTGTTTTCCTAAGAGGGAAGGCTCCAGATGCCGTCCAGCCTGCTCCCAGAAGCCAACCTAAATGTGAACCATATCAGTCACTGAGCAAGTGCAGGAGAGAGAAGGTCTGGGACCCGTCCTCACGGGCGAGAAGAAGAAAACGGGCCGACACCCCAGTCAGGAGCCCTGTGCACCTGGGCAAGCCGCCCCTCCCCCAGCCGCCCATACAGTGGGAACAGGCCTGGGACCTGCCAGCCCCAGGAATGCACTAGACACACAGGACACACTACAGGGACTGTGTCTGCAGCCCCTTGATCCCGGACCTGTCACCTCTGAGGCAGCGTGATGTGGCCGCAGCCACACTGTCTTCCAGGCTGGGGACCCAATCCCACCTCTGCTCCTTATCCACTTAAGCCAGTTCAACGGTAGCCAAAAACATGTATTAAGCACCTACTATATGCAGATGCAGAGATGAGTAGGTAAGAGCTCACGAGCTAGTGTTGGGGAGGGGGTGGGCCCCAGGACTGCAGTAAGGTGTGGCAAGAGCTTGCTACACACGTGCAGGGTGCTCTGGGAACAGCAAAAAAGAGGGTTTATAACCTGCTGGTGGGGGGAGACGGGCGGGGGGGAAGGGGACCAGGGTAGCCCCCACCCCTGGCATCCTTTGAGGTCGACGGCTGTCGATTGGAGAAACCTGGCTCAAAAATAAAGAAATACACCCCAATTCTGGCTCTACCTCTGGAACAGGGGGCGTGCTATCTGAGCTTTTAGCAAGAAGCCATTCTCTTCCCCTTCTTGAGCAGGGGGGAGTGGGGGCTTCCAGGCCTCACTGTGAAGACCCCTGGGGCAAGCAAGTAGGGAGCTGGGTAACCAACTAAGGAGACTGCTGTCACATCGCTGACCTGGGAAAATCATGGAACGTCACAGGGTGTGTGAGTGGTCACCAGGTGAGGCGCACAGGCCCAAATGGGACACAGCATGGAGGGGACCCTCGCTCCCATCAGCGCCCGGGCCCAGCCCCGTCCCAGGGCCCTCCTGAGCCTCCTGCCTTGTCAGCTCCAACAAGGGGAGAATGCCGACCGCGGAGCCTGGCCCCCTCCCTCTTCCCCTCAGTGCCCCACACTTCACTGTGCCCGTATAAATACTGGAAAAACACTGGAAAAATCCACAGACAATGGAGTGACAGCCTGGCCCCGGTGGGGGCCACAGATCATCTGCCGGGCCCCGTTCTGGCATTGAAGCCAATTGGAAACAATGGCCCATTGAGAGCGCCACATTCTCCATTGTCTCCCCAGCTGACCCACATGGCGCCCTCTAAAAATAGGCCAGGCCAGGCAGCGTCACCGCCAGCCTGAGGTCATCAGGGTTCAAACCCAAGCTCTGCCCTTCCTTCTTCAACCCCTCTGAGCCCTGGGTCTCTATCTGTAAGACAGATAGAGTGCGCCCCCTCGCCCCTGTTGGGAGAGGAGGTAACCTCGTGGTCCGAGACACAGTGCCAGGAGGAAAGGGGATCCTTGATGCATGGTGGCAGAGGTTGTTAGTGCAGTGCCTGGGCGCCATCTTGGTGGCAGAAGTGGAACGCCCGGCGCTGGCTGGCATCAAGGATGCCCCTGGCCACACCCAGGGGTGGGAGGTCTTAAAGTTATATGGCCACGGAACCAGAAGTAAATTTGCTTAAGAAGGGAGGGGCTGCCCCCGCCCTGCTTCCTGTTCTGTCTTAAGGCCTGGCACACGGGCGGTGCACACAGTACGTGTGCCAGGCTGTTGGTTAAAGACCCGAGACTGAATGAGCATAGTAACATTACTTCTCCGGAAAGCCCTGACTCTTCTGGTCCAGGCTGCACTCTGCCCCCTAACTGGCTGTTAGATTCCCGGCAAGACCCCTCTCGTAAACCTGCAGGATTGGCGTGAAATCTCCCCAGATTGGTGTAGAACCTCCCGGGATGGCATGAGCCCCACTGAGCACCAACACCTCACCCTCAAGAGGAACCACGGGAGCATCGTGGCCATGGCCCGCCACCTCGTCGCTGGCCCAGAGCCTCAGTCTGGGCAGGACAGGCACTGGCTGTGGCCCACCTTATCTGGAGGCATGGCCTACGCAGTCTCAGGAAGCGGAAGTGACACAGTGACAATACGCAGGTGCGGCACTGTCCCCTGGGTACAGGCGAGCGCACATGAGGGACAAGACTTCCCAAGCACCCACCAAGAGGCAGGCAAGGTGCCCAGCGTGCACGCCCCCAGGAAAGCCTACCTATCCCATTTCACAGATGAAGACACTGAGGAGACTTCCCCAAGGTCACGCGGCTTGTAGTAGCGGAACCAGGATCAGAGCCGTCTTCCGGGCCCTCATGCTGGTGCTGGGCCGTCAGGCCTCCTCCTCTGTGTCCGCCCGCCACACGGGCAGGAGGAGGAGGAAATGCAGGTGTGATCTCGCTTGTGCCCATTCCTTAAGTCACTGATGCACGCATGTGTGCACACACACATAACGTACCGTGCACACACATGCACATGTGTAGACACATGTGCAAAACACACATGTGTAAATGCATGAATGCACACACAAAATGTACGTGGGCACACACGCATGTGTGCATACACATGTGTGCATATGTATGCGCACATGTGTGCAATGTACACACATTCATGTGCGCGCATGTGCACACCCATGCGTGCACATACGTAAACATGCACACGTGTGGATATACATACATGCACACAACACACATGACATACTCACATACACAAACGTGTGTACAAGATCCCACATGCACACACATATATGTACACGTCCATGCACACACATGGGCACACATATGCACACACACTGGCACAAACACACCATTCTAAGCCAGCCCGGGTGGTCTCTCTCCATTGGCCAAAGCCAAGACTGTGCCTGCGACTGGATGGAGGGGTTCAAACTCGCACAAACACAGGCCTGTGTCCTCGTTAGGCCCAAGGAACATTCCGTCCTTCTGTCTTGGTGGGGGTGAATCACTAAGTGTCCTGTAGGGAGGCACCAACATCACACCCCCACATCCTCCCAGAGAGGAGGCACCCCGAAGCCCAGCGCCCAGTGTGCTTCGTGGCCTCCTGCCTGATGGCGGGTGGGGGGGGGGCGCCTGCCTTGGGGCTTGTCAAGGGTCCTCCCCCAGGTCAGACGGGGGCTGGAAACACACATCTCCTCTGTCAGCCAGACCGCCAACCTCGGCCCTTCCACACATCCGAGCCACATGTCAGGAGTCCCTGCTCACAGACAAGGTCCAGCCAGAAGCAGGCGGCAGAGAAAAACCAGCGGGCAAGAGCGTCCCTCTCCCCAGCTCTGGAAAAGCCACTCTCTCAGGGTGTAGAAGAGATTGCACGGGGTGGCAAAC